TATTCTTATAAGGTTAAGCATGAAACTTGAGATTTTTTGCATTATTTAGTTTAAATCTACCTCTTCTCAACCATATATAGGAATTACTATTTACTACTTTATATACTATTTATATGGCTTTACTTATATATTTTATTTTTCAAAGTTTCAGAAAAAATTTATATTCTAACTTGCTGAAATAAAAAAATTTTAGTAGATAGAACTGCACTGTTCTCTAATAATCCAGAAGAAGGTTTTAAACAACGTAAAAGTTCAGATAAACTTAATGTTTTGAAAAAAAAAAATTTGCAAATGGAGATATCCAATACATCACTTTTGTATACATGAGTTTCATCTTTAAAGTTTGTATGATATATATTATTACAATATTTATTTTAAATTGTCATAAACATTTTCAATGTTTCTTATACATCGTTTCTTTTTAGATAAAACAGTTATCATTAATTGGCGATAAAAATCTAGCTGATACAATTAAAAATATTTTGCTCTTGTAAGTAATTAGCAAAAGTTTGAGTTTTAACATTTATGATTGACAGTAGAGCATTTATCTTCTTTTTTATATATGTAGACTGCCAACAGACACTATTTTGTCAGAATACAGCATGAATTGTCTAAAGAAGAAAAAAAGTTTAAAGAGTTGACAAGTCTATGTAACGCTGTCACTGGTATTCTTATTAGCTTATTGTGTTTGATTAATTAAAAATTAAAAATGATGTTTTAAAAAAAAAAAATTTTTTAGGCTTTAGAACATGACATGTATTCAAGTGTATATATAACATATATATTTTATTTTATGATTTTATTGAAACATGTTTTGTTGTTTTTATTAGAAGCTGCTTTAAAGTCAAATAAAAACTTAACCAAAATGGATGCTATCCAACTTATTGGGAGAGTAGTTAGGCATTCTTCTGACCGAATAAAGAAAACATCGACTAATATGGATTTCGATCAATGTTGGCTTAATTAACTGTTGTATTTTTTTTCCATTTTTAAGCAATTTTCTTCTATTTATAATGCGCTATCGATTATATTCTACAGTACCTATTAGTTTTTAATTTGAAAATTTTAATTTTTTTGTTTGAAAAATTATTCTTAATTTTTATAAAGTTATTAATTTATTTTAAATATATCAAATTACACTTTATTTACTTTGATTTCCTTTTATAACTTCCCTTGCCTAGATTAAGGCAAATCTAAGGTGTGTGTTGTAAATCATTGCATTTTTATATAACTTTTAAAAGAATGTCTTGGTAAAATTCAAACGTCTCTAGGACGTCTGAAAAAGACGTCCTTAAGTCATTCATATGAGACCAGCCAGAGACGTCTCTAGAACGTCTGCAAAAAACGTCTCTAGGACGTCTTTAAAAAACGTCTTTTGGACGTCCGGAATGGACGTCCTCAAGCCTTTCATTTGAGACCAACTAAGGATGTCTTACGGACGAGACTTAAGACGTCTTACGGACGTTCTTAGGACGTCAAAATGCCCGCTGGGAAATTTTAAGACAGCTTTTAATCTAAATGATTTTATGAAGTGTTGTAATCAAACAACCACTAATTGTGAAATTTATGAAATAGAAAATACCATACTTAAAGGAATATCTTATTTTCGTCTAGGATCGTTTTATATGTTTATTGGAAAAAATTTAATGCAACTAAAGGATCAAGTCCTTTTACACATGGCTGGATAGCTTATTCAAAAAGTTAAGTTATATCATAGGTGAGGAGATGTACTTTTTCTTTGTTCAGTTGACAAACCATCAGCTTTTATGTCACTAGTTTGTGAAATGGAAACAACTTTTATGAAGTTTATTGATAAATATTTTGAAAGGGCTGACCATGATTCTCATCAATAAATTTTTTAAAAAATGTCATTTTCAGTTTTTTCACAATCAACATGAAGAACATGCGCTTTGTTTGGAAAAAAACATTGTTTCTTTCTAAATAAATGTTTTTTAAGTTTTCATTTTTAAAAGGATTTTTTTGCTGTATAACATAAGCTATTTACTTAAATAACTTATACGTAAAAAAAGGTTTTTAGGACCAACATTGAAAACAATAAAACGTTTCATTTAGCTTAATAAAAACCTATGAAAAATTTTTTTTAAAAAAATGTCAGATCACCATTTCATATCGACATTTAAAAAACCAATAAAAAACGTTTTCGTTAGACCCTTAAAACCGTTCAATAAAAAAACGTCCGGTCATCATTTTATACAGGCGTTTAAAAAACTAATAAAAAAAGTTTTTACGTGACCGTTAAAAAAAGTTCGGTAGCTTTTTAGTACAAAAATACTTTAATTAGTGGTTGTAGCACTGGGTAGATATTATAAACATGTAGAAAAATTTTTGGTTGGCTATTTACATAATTGCTATTAATGGTCCACTATGTAACCGACGAACAAAACTCCAATGAACCGCTCAAAAATGCCTATATATGTCCACTGCAAATCCACTAAAACATTATTTATGATGTATATGCAAAGTATAAAAGAGTATAAAAGACTTAAGTATACTACACCGGACCAACACCAGAGTATAAAAGGCTTAAGTAATAGAAGTCATGCAAATGTCAAACTTATGATACAAATATAGAAGAAAGTGGTCTAAAACGGATTGTTTTTCAGTTGCATCTATAATCTTTGTATAATCAACTAGATGCAGCTAAACGCATAATAAAAAAACATATTTTTTAGAAAATTCAATTTATTCTCTTCAACCTATCATCAAAAAATTAAGTGTAATTATACCTTACGTTAAAAAACAACCGTTAAAAAGAGAGATGCAAGGAATGTATATATATTGAATGTGACTGTTTTTCGTGTTACTGAGCAATAGAAATTAATATAGCAACATAATTAAAAACAGTCCTCGAGTTTTTCTGGTTGTACGCCTTTTTATTTTTTTAATTTTTTTTTTTGTAACTTTTTTCACTTTAGTGCTAATCAATATTTTGCTGAAAGTATTTTTTGAAAAATTATTAATTTTTTTTTTACACTTTATTATTATTATTTTGCAATGTAATTAATTGTCGATTTTTTTATTAGTAATGCACAGATTTCAAGATAACATATTAAAATTTTTAGAAATTATTATAACATGCAACAAAATGAATTGTTTTTAGTCGTTACAATAAAAAAGATTTCCCTAATCAAAAATTTATCGAAAAAGTAAAAAATTATTATTTTTTTTTTTGTGGAAAAACCTGGTAAAATCTAACTGGTGAATTATTTAATCGGTGAAATCTAATCAAAGGGATGTCATCAAATAATAACTGGTGAAATCTAATCAAAGGGATGTCATCAAATAATTATATTTATAATATTAATTTAAAAAGTAATGATAATATCAATAATAACTTTATTGATAGAAAATACAAAAATTGAAAAATACAGATTCTTAAGGGTAGTTTTATCAACATAATGACGAATTATTGAAAGCATGCTATTAACTCAATTAAGTTTTTTACAGTGTGCATCTATATGAAAAATTCCATGAGAGTTTCGAATCTATAAAAATACTAAGATATTTAACAACGCGTGTTGGATATAAACGTCTATTATTAATTTTAATTTTTGATATATGATTGTTGTATAAAAGTTGTTGTCTGGAAGATCAAAAAAAAATTAGTTTGGTTTTTTCCAAGTTTAGAGAAATTAAGTTTGCATTTAGACAATGATCTAAACCTTTTAGGTCTAAGTTTATATTCTTACACAAGAAATTATAAGACATTAATATGCAAGATATTAGTATCATCAGCAAAAAATGGATTAATGAGAAGTAGATAGGGTTATTCAGATCATGAACATAAATCGAAAACAATAGAGGGCCAAGAACAGAACCCTGGGGAACGCCACAAACTATGTGTTTGTTATTTGATTTTTCGGTTATAGGATGTTAAATAGCGGAAGGAGATATTAAATAGCTTAGAGAGAATATGAGAAAATTCAGAATTAAAATCAATAAGAAAGTTTGTGGGGAAGCTGTTAGTTATTGATTTGCTAGGTTTCAATTTAGATATAAGTGATGAGATTTCAGAATGGTTTGTTGGAGATATTAGTAAACTATGAAGTTTTGAATGCATAAGATAAATTTTATAGCTAATTAGAGATGAGAATATATACTTAGCAAACATGCCATAGCGGGTTTTCAGTGGACCTATATACACATTTTGAGCGGACCGCTGTAGTTTTGCTCATCGGTTACTTAGTAGACCATTATTGGTAGCCGCCAAAAGTGGCTGTGTAGCCACTATTAAAATGTTGGAAAGTTATCGGTATATAAAAATGCATAGTTGAACTCAAGAAGATTGTAAAGGCGGAGTTAAAAGAACGCAATATTAGAAAGAGAGTACAGCTATTGATATTCAATACGATTTAGATTGCGATAGAATAGTGTTTTGCCTAAAAAGATTTAGAAATTCATAAACGACTTTCGTGTGAGGTGATGATGAATTTGAGTTATGCATCAAAACATTATTCTTTTCGAAGATTGGTTAAAGTGGTTCTTGGTGACATTGTGGTCTTTTTCAAGTTTCCGCGTTCTTTCTTCTTTACTCACAATGATATCTCATTTTTATCTTTTCTTTGAATTTTTATGTAAAAATTATATAAGAATGCACCGCGTCCCTCAACAGGTTATAAAAACTCAATACAGTTATTGCAGCTGTAGATTACATTTATTTTAAATGTTACAACAACAACAAAAACTTGCTTTATAGTGCAAAAGTAATCAAATGCTCGATATAAATGGTTAACCTGCAGGTCAATGTTTTTAATCCTTTATTAATTAACCCATTATTAGCTTGTTTAACTTTTAAACAAATTCTTTATAGTTTTGTGAATTTTAAAGATAAAAATAGAGTGACTGTATTATACAGTTGTATAACAATTTATTATAGTCATTTTAAAATTGACTTATTGTATATTATTTGCTAATAATCAAATAACTTGCATAATCAGTTCAGAAGTATTTAACATAAGTTGTTAATTAATAACATATAATCAGCAAAAACGCTTTTCTTCAAAAGACTTTCTTTTAAAAAAAAAAAGAAATAAACATTATAAAAATACCTTGGCGATAGTTTGTTCATAAATCATTATCGACAGACTTTGGCATTAGAGTTAGTTAAAACAAAAAAACCATAACTTAATGGAGGTATGTACAATGGAAAATTAGAGTTGATTGGGTTTAAAACAGGTAAGGTTGTTTCATTATTCATCTTTAAAACGTGACCATTAAGAGAAACTATTTTGTCTTTTATTTTTCCATTAGATGGTGTAAGTAAGTATTGATCAACAGAAATTGTGTTGTTTTTGAAATTAATAGTTGCATTTTCTTTAACATTGATGTTAATGACTATTAAAACTACTGAACCAGATTTGTAAACGCCATTTTCAGTGTTTGTGCAATGCGCGTACATTCTTATATCTCTACCATGCTCTAAAAACCCAGTTAAATTTAATACTTTTTGCCCAACTAGTCTCTTATAAAGTAACGAGCTCCAATAGTCTGGTGTAGGGTTGAAGTTGGCGTCTACTAATGAATATTTTCCACCTTTAAATGATTGCCTTAAAACCACATTTATTCCCATTTGAGCAGCTAACCCTAGCTTATCTAGCCAAAGAAATCCCGCAGCAAAACTGTTTCCAGCACTTTCGCTTCCTCCACCGAAGGTGCTTGATGTTTCTCCAATCCAAACCTGAGGAATTCTGAACCAATGGCTTAGAGAACTTTTTACAATCGAAACTGCTTCTAATCCGTAGTCAATAAAACTGTCAAGATATTTTATTTTTGTAAAGTTTTCTGGATTTATGTCATCACTTGATGAATAATAATGATGAAAAGTTACTCCATCTAAAATACCTTCCTCAATGGATTTTAAAAAGGTTTGAAAAAGGTTATAGCGATTTAACGTTGCAACATCAGGGCCATAAAGTTTTATCTGCTTTTGTTTAAAAACTTCATTCATAATTTTTCGTAACACTATAAAATCAGCAGCATACTGTTCTGCTTTCAGAGTAAAATTCAAATGATCTGGAAATAAATCAAACTCGTTTCCAAGTTCAAAGTTCACATTATAGTTCATATGAACAATATATTCAAACAGTTTTTTTGTATTTGAAGAATCCCAGTTACCATTTGGATAGCGATTTAAAACATTTAGCCCGAATATTAGTCTCCAATTGGTTTCATTTACGAAATTCATGAGAAGATCAATCTCTGTTTTATCATAGTAAACTTCATTAGGTTTAAAGTTTATAAAATCTTCAGCTGTACCTCCAAATCGTAAATAAAACTCTCCCGCAGAAGAAAGTGCATTAGCTAAAAAAAGTAACTTTTTTGATTTAAGGTCAGCTAAGTGCGTTTTATTTTTAAAATAGCCAGCACCAAATGTTAAAGAAAGATATTCTTTTTCTACTTGGCAAACAATCTTTTCAAAATTTATATCCAAAAATACCTCTAAAGCATAAACATGCTGAATCAAAAAAATGTTCCAAAACTGCATTTCTAAAACATAAAGTAAATAGGTATTATATAACCTATATATATATATATATATATATATATATATATATATATATATATATATATATATATATATATATATATATATATATATATATATATATATATATATATATATATATGTATATATATATATATATATATATATATATATATATATATATATATAAACGCATCCAAAATTTTATATATATATTTAGCATCCAAAAAGCAAAATATAGAATAACGTATTTTAACGAAACCTTACGTTTGTTTGCTGCGCACAGCTGGATTTATTTATCTTTTTATTTTGTTTTATTTTGTGTTTTTTTCTTGAACATTTCAGTAAATTTGTTATCCAATAAAATTGTTAAGATAAAAATAATGGTACACAATAAAAGTTGATTCAAATATTAAACAACTTTTTTTCATTTTATAAAAAGAAGCAAAGACTTGCAAAAAACGACTACAGTTGTCTTCATTAAGGGCCGCCAAGAGCAGTCACGCCGCCTTGAACAGCAACTTTGGTTGGCGTCCTTATTTATCAAAATTTCCTCATATTATAAACAAAGGACCTTTTTTTTTAAAGTAACTTTCTTTTCACTTAGCGCCCTTGGATATCTGCAGCCCGGGACAAACTGTATTTTTCGCCACTCCCCTTCTCTCTCGGTGGTACTGTCCCTCCAATCCCCTTCTCTCTCGGTGGCACTGTCTTCAACAATATCGTTATGACTATTATGACTATTAGTAAAAACTTTTCAGCGTCACCAACAATATGTTACCTAAAAATAAATAAATCATATCATTTGCTGTAAAAAAATAAAACATTTCATACAGATATTTTTAACTAAAATTTTTAAATTAAAAGTTTGAATATAAATTCGTGTCTTTTTTAAAATTGACGGGTTAAATTACCAGAATTATGTTATCAAACCACGTTTCAGACATGCAAATCAAGTTAAAAATACGAAGAGATTTTTTCATATTTATAACAGAAAATTTCTGGTTTTATTTTTATATATGCTGAATGCTGAATTTATTGGAATAAAGAAACTTTTTATATCATTGGTATTATAATAAAGCATTGTTGTAATGCGCATGCTCCGATAAAATAATTTAGATCTGAATCCTATTTGTGATTTAAGTAAAAAACGACAACTTTAAAAAAATAACCAAAGAGTTTAAATTAAAAATGCTGGAGTTATACAAATCATTTTGATCTTTATTATCTATAAACCTTAATAAATAACAAAACTTCTTTTTAAAATCACGCATAATTAGTTGGTGTAGTGCAAATAAAAGTGAACTGGAACCTTTTTACGTCAGCAGAAGCATGTTGCTCGTCTTATTAATTTATTAAGACAGATTTACTCGTGCCAGGCCACTTTTATTTGAGATGAAAAGTTTTAATATACATCAGCTTCATGTTTTTATTACTCTTTGTTTTATTTACAAATGTAAAATAAATTCCTCCCCAGTTTCTTTGCTTAGTTTATATACCTTGAGAGATAAAAATAAATACAATTTGAAAAATGACAATTTAATTTGGCAACAATTTTATGGATCTAGGAAAAAATCCTCCGGGAAAAAATCCCCCTGAAAAAATCCCCAGAGAAAAAATTCCCTTGAGAAACCCCCCCCCCCAAAAAAAAAAAAAAAAACAACAACTTTTTTTTACATAAAAATTATCAATATGTAGTTATTTTTATTTATTTTAAATATTTATATAAAATATTTCATTTTTCATCAAAATGTCAAATTATGCGCAATTCCTCGAAGGTAGCGAACATGAAACCCTAACCCTAACCCTGATGAACTGCAAACAGGCAAAATGTGAAATTTTTTGCGAACCATCGTAGTTAATTTAGCACTATATTTTAAGGACTTTTAAGGGAAAAAAATTATTAAAAAAAAATAAACAAAGCCTTTATTTATTTTTCCCTTTATTAAAAGGAAATTATGTGAAACAAAACGAATACAATACGAATATATATATATATATATATATATATATATATATATATATATATATATATATATATATATATATATATATATATATAAATTATTTGATAGACTGCCTGCCCAAACCAAAACCTCAGTCGATGTAGCAGCAATCCGTTGCGAGTCAGGTATTTTTTAGTCGATGTAGCAGCACTCCGTTGCGAGTCAGGCTATAAGATAGTCGATATAGCTACACTCCGCGCATGTTTTACAATTAAAAAATAAAGTTTTTATTTTAAATAAAGCTTTAAAATAGATAATTAAATATTTGAGAGTTTTTTTTTATCATTATTTTTATCATAAAAATAATGGTCTTTAAAATATAATGTTTTGTTTTGCAAAAAAGTTCGCATTTTACCGGTTCGCAGCTCGCGGTGCGCAGTTTGCATTTTACCGACAACCGAGGAATAGCGCATAATATGACATTTTGATGAAAAATGAAATATTTTATAAAACTATTTATAATAAATAAATAAAACTATTTTATTGATAAATTTTAATTTTTAAAAAGAAATTTATTTTCACTTTCATATTTATTTCTTAATCTATCAGCTTGTTCAACAAATAAATTCTTATGAAGTTGAATATCTTTTATCAGGATATCTTGGATACGCAGTTTTCCCAATTTTCATTTACTGATTCCTCAACCAAATTGTTACGTTTTTGTCTATCTTTGAGCTTTGTCAATTTATCCTTTATGTTTTCCGTAACATTATTTTCAAATTCGCGTGAACTTTTGCGTTCAGGCTTTGCTTTGGCAATTTTGTTTAAAATTTTGAGATACATTTACTTATAAAATAGGCCCTAATTTTTAAAGTGCTTTCTATATGAAAAGAAATATTATAATTTGTTTGTTTTAAACTATTTAACAATTTAATAAGAGTAAAGTAAAATAAGAATATACATAAAAATCTTCGAAGAAGTTAATAAACGTAAAGTTATCAAAAAATGGAAGAGGTTTTTTACTTTTATTGATTTTACAACTTTGTGAAACGCATTATTACGTTTAATAGTTTAGCTAAGGAAATATTATTGGCTTTATCAGCGTTTAGATTTATTAGAGTTTCGTCTCATTTATCAAGTGATATAATATCATGAAAAGATTTAATGAAGTATCTTTTATTAGTCTAGTATTTTTACTTTCTTTTGTGAGGATCATTATGCAATTATCTAGTAAAATAAAAATCCGAAAATAATTCGATATATCCGTTTTAAACATTCCAGTTTTTGTTTTTGTAGTGATAAACAGGGCTTCGGAGCAGCTCCGGAGCTGGAGCCGGAGCTATATGGAGCTGGTGATTTTATATGGAGCTGAGCCGGAGCTGGAGCTAAAGTATTTCCTGCCGGAGCTGGCTACGGAGCCAGCTCCATTCTTTTGATAATTTGAATATCAAATTTCCATAAAGTTGATATTTTATTTAATGAGATTTTTTTAAAGAATTTAAACAATCACGCTCATTAAAATAATTATAATTTCTAAATAATGCATTTTTTGATAGGGTTTATAAAAAAAAAAAAAAAAGGAATTTTTTTTTGAGAATTTAATTTTTATTCAATTATTTTGTATAATATGTCATGTGGTTCATATTGTAAAGTATGATAGGTGACTTTTTTGATTAGTTATGGGATCATCCATAAAGTATGTAAGCTTTTTTTTTTATCTCCCTTCCAACATCCTGAATTTTGCTTTACACTTTTTTGAAATTAAAAGAGTAGGTACTTTTTTTACATAAAAGTACCTACCATTTTAACCTACCTACTCAACATTTTATGAGATTTTTTTTAACCTAGTGTCTCTTTACTTTTATAATTGACTCCTCTCCCCCATTCGAGCGTACTTTATGTATGATCCTTTATGTACGTACTTTATGGACGATCCTTAACGAAAAAATACTATGTCTATGTGTTAAGTCACATGATTTGTTTTAACGTTTTGAATTAGTTGAAACATTTTTAAAATAGATATAAACATGTAAGTTCCAAATAAAATTAGAAAAAGAATTAATAATTTTTTTGTTGTTGATATTATTGATACTATTTTTGTTTATACTATCTTTCTTATTATTTCTCTTATCTTTACAATTTTCATTTACTTTATTATCATAGTTTTTATAAAAATAGCTTCAAACTCAAACGATCCTGAGAGGTTTCTAGATAAGTATTTTACAATTGATAAAAGTACAAAACTGGTTACATGCAAGATTACAGAAAAGTTAAATGATAAAGTGATTTCATGCGCCATACAAATAAAAAAATCAAAAGTTTACAGCATAATATTCAAATATTCACAACATTATATTCTGATAGATGTGATTTGGAAAAATCCCATCTATCAGAATATAAAATTGCTAAATCTCAATGAGCCTTATGGCCTAAAGAAAATCTTCAAAATTATTTTATGAAGATCTCAATACTAAAAAAACTAAACAGATTACTTTTGATTCATTTGTTATTACTAGTAGTTGAACAATAAATCAAGTTAGTGCTAAAACTTTTATATTTGAAATTATTAAAATGATAGTGAATAACAGAGTTTTGTTGAGAAAATTTGTGGATGAAGAATTTCAGTTGGTTACAGGCCAAATAGGTAAAACTCTTGGATTCAGTACCGAACACAATTCTGTACGTAATTTGATAAATGAATTTGTTGAAAAAAAAGAAAGCTGAAATAAAGGAAATATTGTTACAGAAATTAATTTATGTTAAAATAGATGCAGCCACTCGACACCAAAATAACTATTTGGAAATAAATATTCAATATTATTATGCAAAAAAAAAAAAAAAAGTTTGGCACTGATAGATACACAAGGACAACGCAACCCTATTGCTATCAAAAAAACGGTGGAAGATACTCCATATAGATTTGGTATCAGCAAAGATCAAATAGTATGTGCAAGTGTAGACAAAAGCAGCCAATATGATTAGAGCAATCGCAATTTTAAACAAATATTCAGATGCTGAAATTTTTTTTTGAGATGAAGCTTTGCATGATTAAGAAAAAATGGAATTTTTACAACAGGATACAAATGAAAAAGAAAGTGAAGAAGCTCAGTAAGAAAATTTACCTTTATCAACCCAAAATTGTGTCAACAATTGTCTACTGAAATTAAGCAGATGCGCTGTGTTATTCATACTTTGCAGCTAGCTATTGGTATGATTTAAAAAAAACATACATTGCCAAACTTTTGGCAAAAGTCCGTCAGGTTGTAAAGAAGCTAAGAAACTCACATACAATATTTTTAGCAAAAAAGAAATTCAAGGTTGTTTCAATTTTGGATAATGAGACACGCTGGGGTTCTACATTCCGGATAATTGAAAGATTATTACTTATGCGTCCAGTGTAATCAATTTGCTGTAGTTAATCAGATATTCTTTCTACGTCCTGAAATATGGCATAAATCTAGGCATCTTTAAGATCTTTTAAAAAAGTCACATGATGTGACTTTTTTAAAAAGTCACATGATGTGACGACCTTAATCTAGGAAAGTTCGTAGAGAAATTGTTGAAATTGAAATCTGACCTAGACAAGAATCAAGGACTATTTGCAGAAGACGTTTCAAAATCTATGCAGAAACAAGTAGAAAAACCTTTTGATAATGATATATTTCTAGCTGCAGTTTATGTTGATGCTAGATATACAATACTATTGAAAGAAAACCAAATATTATGAGCAAAACAAGGTTTAAAAACAATAGCAGAAAAAATTTATAAAAGCAATGCCAAGAATATGATAGTAAGTCAAGAAAAAAGAAATATTGCTGTGCTATCTACAGTACTTCTTTCAGTTTTAAATGAATCTAATTCCGATGGAGAAGAAGATGACATTGAAAAAGAGCATGATAAGGAAAAAAGAAAAAAGGAGAAGTGTGACCAAAAAAAATTTTGGTCACGCTTCTTTTTTTAATTTTTTTGATAAAAATACTTTTAACATAAAATTTTTGGACAAATGTAGGATAATGGAAGAAATGGAACGTTCAAAATTGAATTCAGTTTTTGAGTGAATTGAATAATACCCAAAAAGAATACAAGAAACGTGCAGAGTTGTCACTTGCATACCTATCTCACAAGCAAGTGTAGAGAGTCTATTTTTTGCTCTTAAGTTTGTATCAAGCGATCTGCATCTTTTTTCAAACCTGATATTTTCGATACTTGTTTTTTAAGGATGAATCAAGATTTTGATTAACAAAATGTTAACAGTACTTAAGTTTCTGTCATAAAACATTAAAAAAATTTTGATTTTTTTTTTTTTTTGCGGAGCCGCTCCGGAGCAGGAGCCAAATATTCTAATGGAGCCGGAGCTTTGAGCCGGAGCCAGTTTTTAGACCTCGGCTCCAAAGCCCTGGTTATAAATTCTTTTGTAAAAATTTAATTTAATGATGTTTCACTTTTCTTAGTTACCGCGTGGGTTTATTTATTTATTGAAAACGCTTATGATTACTGGAATGTTTCCAAGTTGAAAAAGCCATTAAAAATGTCATACAGTTTAGGCTTCTAAAATTTGATGGTAATATCACCAACAAAAAAAATTCTTTTATGTTTGAACCTGATTTACTTTCAATCTAACTTTTGTGTTAATATATCATATTAATATATAATATTTGAATGCGTTAATATTTTCCTAAAGGCGGTCTGCATAACGCATGTACATTAATGTTTCTTGACATTTTGTTAACTTTTTCAATGCTTAATGATTCGTAATCGTTAGTGACTGATATTTTGCATAGGTTTGTATGATAATGATTTGTTAATAAATATAAATAAACCCCCCTACCATGCTTCTACCCGTTTTTGGTGAGTTACAAGTTCTAATACCTAATTGCAATTTGGTCAATCACATTGTAAATTCGTCAACCACATTGCAATTAGGTATTTGGAAATTTGAATCGTATTCAATATTTTTATTATGACACCAATTTTGCCAAGGCAAGTAATGTGAAAACTAATTCTGATTACATATAAAAACTGTTTTAATGATACTTTTAATATTAAATTTTATTTAAAAATATTAATTACTTCTAATATTAATGTGGAGAATTGAAAATGAGGAACCATCATTTCTTTTTTTTTATTTTTGAGCTTGAGTTATAATAAAACGGGTTAATACTTTTAATTACTTCTTCATTACTATAAAATACAGTACACTAATTATTCTTTTCATATATTTTAATATTTATAACTTATAAATAGATCATATATTTATAATTTTTATAACTTATAAATAGATCTGTCAGTTACATTATCTATTTGAAATGCATTTCAAATAGATAAGGTAACAGATAATTTTTTTTTCTTTTTTTTTTTTAAAAACTTCTCAATAAGAAATTTTAAAAATAAATAAAAGTTAATAATTCAAATGCTTGATTTTTTAAAATCCTTTACAATCAATTTATCGTTTACAACAGCACAATACGTTTCAGTTGACATTTTAGCATAGGCGCTCTACTGGCCCAGCACAATGATAGGTATCATTGTTTCTGTACAACTTTCTTTATTCGAATAATTTCGGCTGAGTAATTCAATTTAAATATATTTGCTCGCATTTTCTAGATACAAGAACGCAATAAATTTGTTTGCATTTTCTAGAATTTTTTATCTTTGTAGTCGAATAGTTTGGTCAAAATTGATCAAGGTTTGTTTGCAGGGGCGATTTTACCAGAAGAAGGAGAGCAAGGTATGTGACACAAAGAAGGAGAATTTAGTTATTTGTAAGTTATAAAAAAAAAAAAAAAAAAACACCGTCGTAAAAACCTTATTATGACTGTGGTTAGTCGGCATTTGATACATTTCAATCGGCAGGTTTTAAGTTTTAAAGACTTTTTTTTATGAAGCAGTTGGCAGTTTTAAAGGTTTCACCTCCCCTACCCCCTTCTACCTAAAATCGCCCTTGGTTGTTTGTATAAAACTTATCTGTCCGCAGTTTATTACTTTATTTTTTTAATCATTTTAAATCATTTTTAACTTTAAAAAACATCCTAATTTTCAGACTTGTTTTCAGTTTCGCATAATTCATAATATTAAATAATATAAAGAAGATTTTTTACTAATATTAACGAGGGGTTTATATTAGTATATACTAATTTATAAGGGGTTTCTTTTAAATCCATTAAGTTATTATCGTAAAATGCTGAAAAAAACATAATAAATAATATAAATAATATAAAAGGTTTGTCTTAATATAATTAACTTCGAAATATTGTTTAATTGTTGTTTTGAAAAAATCCATTTAGAACAAAACCAATAAGAATGCAATGAAGAAAAAGCTTTACTGCTTTACGGCATTACGGACGGAGAGAATCTTATTGAAACTCGCTGCTTCGTAGGAATTTCTTAAAAGCAAATAACTTATGCCTGCTGAAAATTGAAAAATTGATTTAAAAATTACTAAAGATTACCAAAAAGTTAACTAGACAACTATTAAATTTATAGAAAAAATAAACAAAAATTAAAAGTTTATGTGGATTTTTGTACAAATCTTCTCTTCTCTTTATTTTTTATTTATATTAGTTATGTATTTTTTTGTATTACTTATGTACAGATATAAATTACATACTATAATATAAGTATTACTATATTTTATTAACATTTTATACTATATATATTAATAATAAAATATATCTACATCCTAATACTAATATATTATATTATGTAGTATATATTTTATTATAATATGTTACAGATATTATATATAATTATTTATATAATGTATATATAACATATATGATATATATAATATATATATTATATATAATATATATATATATATATATATATATATATATATATATATATATATATATATATATATATATATATATATATATATATATATATTATTTAAACAAGTTTTTTTTATTTAGAAATATTTTTTGTTAAAAATAATTTTAATCAAATCAAGTTAACAATATTTTTTTTCCTACCAATTTTTTTAAACTGTGATTAATAAATAGATAAGTGTGATTTTGTATGTATACACTTAGTGTATACATATTTATAATGCAGTAAAATTGGCAGTAAAAGTGTCTAATAATTTTTTAATTTAATGCAGAAAAATATTTAGTATTAAAACTCTAGACTTTGATTTACAACTTTGATTTGCAAGCATTACTATATATTAATAAACAAAACTAACACAGGTACAATATGGTTGTTATTTCTTTTAAAAACTAGTTATTATTTAATTAAAATACAATATTGCCATTATCACATTACTTAATAAGATTTTGCAAAGTTATTTTATTTTGTAAAATATTTTTATGTTTATTATCAAGTTATTTACTAAGATATGGAATCTCCTTCAACATCTGCTACTCAATCAGCAGACGAAGATGACGAAAATATTATCCATTATGATAATGATCTCAAAAATCATTTAGATGTCAATCTTAATCCCAGTAATTCATCTCAAGCATCTATTTGTAAATCTTCGACAGGTACTTGTGTACTACTTGCTCTTAATGGTTTTGAATATTGTCACAAACACATCTTAGAAGATGACAAGAGTCCCCATCAGCAATGCAGTTTTCTTTCAAAAATTGATATGTTAAGATGTTGTAATCCATCTCAAGGTATTCAAAGTATTTTTGTTATTTAACAATTTATTATTTTTTTATTTGGATTTAAATAGCTTGATTTTATCATGCTATTTGAAAAATGCATGTTAATTTATTATTTTTGAAAGTTGTGAATTCAAAAATGTAAAGAAAATAATCTAATTCCAAAGTTTTGATTTTAATAATTTGATTTCAAAATAGTCAGAAAAAATTTTTTTGTTTTGTTTCTATGGGTTACACTTTCACTATTTCCTGGATTTGCTAAACTCATAGATTTAAAATATTTTTAAAAGAATTTTTAAATTTAAAAGAGATTTTAGGGTATCCTTATAATAAATTAAGTTTAACATTGTTTAAAAGACTAAATATAGTTTTAAATGTTGCCTACGAATGTTATAGTTTAAAAATTGATTTTGTTTTCATTAAAATATGGATTAATAGTATAAATATAGTTTTCTGGCAGGGCCCTGCGAAGCTTCGAAATTTCGAATTGAATCAAAAAAATGATTCAAAATTAGATTAGAAAGTTTTCAAAAATCGAATCCTTACTTATTTTGTTTTTGTTGTGTTTAATTTAGATATTCTGCGCTTTGGCGTTATCGAAATAACGTTACTTATACTTAAATACCTTTTTAATCAGTCATTAAAAAGGTTAACCAGGAAAAGAAGTATCAATATATTATACAATTAGATTATACAATTTTTTTCGAAACCTTTATACATTATATAAGATCACATCATATAAAGCATATTGAAAAGATAATTACTCTTCATAAAGCAAGTTGTTCTGGTAGATTTTGCATAGAATCACACTTTTATAGCACAAGACCAGATACAGTGTTACTTTTTATTTGTCATCTATTATAATAAAATAATTATCAACCTCATTATAATATAATAATTTATTAACCTCAATCTTTTAGAGGTTGGCATCAGATCAACAGTATCAAATCAAAAACCTAGAGGTTTTTGATTTGCTACTGGCTCCAGCCCAATAAGCAACATAAGTAAGGAAGGTGTGACCTTCCTGGTTAAAATACCATTATGTTATCCATTGGAGCAATAACCATAAAAAATTTATAAAAATTCATCTGCTGTTTGCAGAATAATTTTGAAGAAAAATGCTCCTTGTTTTACCAGGAAACTTCGAACTAAAAGCATATTACAGTTTATTTTGAAGAATTCTCTGTTTGTTGCATCTGAAATTTTTTGGCTACAAGAGCCATCACTAGTTGTCATGCAAAGGAATAGGTAGCACTGTAAAAAAGCTTGTTACTATGGTTCATTCTCGGAGCATCTGCAAAGCCGTAAATCTTATAAACTATTATTATTTGTTTATAAAAATAAATGTTTTAAATATATATTATTTAAATTGTCAAAATTTTGAAAGCTATTATAAATTATAGATTTTATTAGTATATTGTTATTTTTTATTTAAAAAGCATGTAGTTTTTATGTAAATGTAGTTTTGTGTATCTGTTTTTTATCGTAATGTAATCTTTTAAAGCAATTTTTATGATTTGATTTATAAACAAAGACTTATAAAAATAATTGCATTTTCAATGAAGTTATTAGTAATCATTAAAGTTAATAAAACTAATCATGTAACAAACATATAAGAAGTTTTTGGTTACTAAACACAAACAATGCATACCAAGTAACTCTAATAAAAAAATTATAAAAGAGCGATGTTTTGAAAATATTTGTTCTAAACGTAATTTATTTTGCTTTTTTTTTTCTTTTTTTTTTTTGCATTAAAAGATATTTTATTTTCCTTTTATTTTTATTTTTGTAATTGTCTCTCGTCGGTTCAAATTATCTTCTGCAAATTTTTCTTGCTTTGAAAAATTTGCAGAAGATAATTTGAACCGACGAGAAATGTTTTCAAAACGATTAAAAAATCTGGCCAGCTTTTCACAACTAAATATCATTTCCGTAGTTAACAATCAGGAGCAATCGCTCCCGCTTCCCAACCAAGCCTGATTTCTAGAAATATTTGTGTTAAACTATGTTATATAGAATAAATTATTGTAAAATAAATAATATTTTCAGTGTATTGCAATGTAATGTATATTTCCATACAATTTTTTTAAGCTATGTAAGATTATGTCTTTTTCATACTTTAAAAACCTAAGCTGTTGTTTATATTAAAATGGTTTAACATCTCTTTTTTCACTGGAAAGAATTTCTTACCATTAAAATTTATTTAATGAGGATTATATTTCACTTATTAAAAATAAGTGAAATATAATCCTTGTTAATGAGGATTATATTTCACTTATTAAAAATAAGTGAAATATAATCCTTGTTGATGAAGCAAAAAATGTCTAGACTATTTTAAAATGAAAAACAATATTTTGTATTAGAAATGATATTTTGTATTATTATAATAATAATATTAATTTGTATTATTATATTATTATAATATTAATTACCGCAAATCAAGTTCAAAATTATTTTCTTCTTTACTATTATAATTATAAGGGAATTTTCTCTTATCATTTTTAATATTAATTAATTAAATTTTATATTACATTTTAAAAAATGTTTGGCCTATTCTAGGAAAAAAATTTGGGTGGCGGTACCCCCTTGTTTTGGCGGACTTTAGCAGAAAATTGGTGGGTTTTTTTTTCAAAAAAGGTCCTCAAATTTTAATTTGTGCAGTGTCCAAAGGGGCTATTCTAGACCGTTTTTGACGCTGTCAAAAACGGTCTAGAATAGCCCCTGATAAATTTCTTTCTTTTCTTGACATTTGCATTAGGGATAGCAATCCCGGGATCCTGTACAAATTGTTCATCTGAAAATCCTGGAATTAGTCTGTAAAATTCCCCGGGATTTCGGGATTGTCATAATAAAAAGTAAAAATTTTTTGCTTAATTTGTAACTAATTAATTTGTACACCATAAAATGTAAATATAGGTTTTGGTATTGTAGCTGTTTGGTTTTGTTTATTCTCTTTGTAATGTTTTCTTTTTATTCTCTCTCTTTTTATATTTTATCTAAAATACTAACTAAAAACATTATTGCTTATCTGTAATATATGTATGATCATACATGATATAGACAAATAGAAACAAATGTATTATTAAAAATAAATAAAACTTTAGTGCTTTCTGAAGAGAAGATCAAAAATTTTAATAGAAGAAATTCCTTAGTTTTATTTTGAATTTTCTAATTCATTCTTATTTTTAGTAAATATTAATGGCCAGGTTACTTCATTAAAAAAAAACAGAACTTTTTGTACCAAATACAAGTAGCCAAAATAAAAAAACTGTGGTATATCTGATAAAGTGTTTAAACTCGGCAGAAATAGTAACAGCAGCAGACTTGAGTAGTGATAGTTATTTTCAGTTGAACCAGGCCTTTTCAATCCACAAATGTGATAATAATGTCAAAACAATTAGTGAACAATTGAATGAAGTAATACAAAAAGGATTAGCAGATTTACGAACACAACCTATATGGGTAGAAAAATAACTTTTGAAATTAAAAAAAAAAAAATACTGTTATTTAAAAGTGATGGCTCCAGATATAATTACTTTTAAAAAACATATGATTATATACTATCTATATGGCCAACAAATAAGATGTCCAGACGAGCATTCTCACCGCTGGATTTTTTGTTCAAAAAATTGAATACAAATAAGCGATAAAATTATTGATGCTTTGATTTTTTAGGGCAGTACTTTCAAAAATAAATATAAATCATGTATATTCATGTTTAAATTATTTTCAGTTATTATTTTTATTTATCCTGTGTTATTCTTTTAAGGTATTGTTTTATAATTTAGTTACTTAGGTTCATTAATGAATGAAGTATTTTTTTTATATTATCATTAATTTAATCATTTTTAGGTGTTTAAGTACTAAAAAAGTACTCATCAAACACTTGAAAATATTTGCTCTTCTTATCAAACACTTAAAAAAGTTTGTTCTTATTAAGCTTCACTTTCTATAATTGCGGTTTTTTCTATTCAATCCTGGGATTTCCCGGGGTCAGGTTTAATCCCATGACTGAAAATGTTCGGGATTTTTGCCATCCCTAGTTTGCATAAATGAAATTAAAATATGTGAAATTTTTGAACTTTTAAATGATTATATTACATAAATTTCTAACTTTGTAACTAGAAATGTATTTTATTTAAAAAAAATTAACAAGTAACAAATAAAAAAATTATGTTATTTATTTACTTAAATTATTAAAAGTATATTATTTTATTAATGATTTTGTTGTGAAAGCAAAGATTATTTTTTCAAACATCATTTATTAAAATTATATCGCTGTATATATATCATTTATTAAAAAATAATCAATGAATTGCATTGATTATTTTTTAATAAATAAAACTTGCTTTATAAAAAAAAAAAGTTTAACTTATGTTTTATGCAAATTTTTGATGCAGCCATTTATTTAAAATTTAATTTTAAGTTTAAAAAAAGTAAAAAATATGCAAAAAAGTAAAAAAGTTTTAAATAATATTATGATCTTTGCTTCAAGCTTAATGTGTTAGCGTTTTTCAAGTGAAAAAATCAATAAAATAAAAACAAAATGAAAATAAAATAACATAACATAATAAAGGTAATATAAAATAAAATTTAACTTTTTTTTTATTAATTTATTATGTATTATTTAAATTATATTATTTTATAACTATATAATATTATTTTATTTTTAAGTTATATTATTATGATCTTTACTTCAAGCTTCAAGTGTTAACGTTTCTCAAGCAAAAAAATCAATCATTACAATAAAATAAAAACAAAATGAAAATAAATTTTTCCTTTGAGTTTTTTTTATTAGTAAACAATGCTTATATCTAACATAATTGTCATTCAAAATTTTGTAACATGTTTTTACATAACCGTCATTCAAAGTTAATGTTTTTTTAAAAAATTAATTACTTCTTTTATCTTACTGCTTATAGAACAATTTAAAAGTTAAAAAATGATAAAAAGTCGCTTAATCAAAATCGCTTACTGCATATGTAAAATTATTCAAGGCATATGTGAATTGCTCTACGCGTAACGCTTTCAAACAAGGCCTGATATTATAAAAGTATTGTATATTTGTTATATTATTAATTTGTGAAAACAAAAGTTCCAGTGGATTGAATTAACTTTTTTGTCTATTTTGTGTGTAGTCTCTGATATAGTCAAATTTATATTTTCGTGTTTTGCTTGTCTGGTCAAATTATTTTTAAGTTTTGAATGTGTTTCTGACAGTTGAAAAATTGAAATGTTAACATGCTGAAATAATTAAATGTATTTGTATACTCTGCAATCTTCTAACTTCTTTTTGGTAAATTTAATTTATTCAACTTATTTTCTAAGGTTTATTTAAAATATAAACACTATTAGCTCCGGCACTTGCAGATTTCTTTAAATGATGCATTTTATATTTATTTGTTTGAGCATTATAAATTTTACAAAAATTACAAGGTAATAATCATTATTTAATGTTTTCTATTACAAAGATATATATATATATATATATATATATATATATATATATATATATATATATATATATATATATATATATATATATATATATATATATATATATATATATATATATATATATATATATATATATATATATATGTATATATATTAGATGAAAAATCTTCATTGTGTGTTACCCATTTACGTGCATTTGAAAAAAGAAAGGAAAGAAATCTAAAGAGAAGAAAGGAAAGAAAATTGGGACAACAGCAACAGCAGAAACAACAGCATTGTAAGTTTACATTTTTGGGTTACATTTGATTAATTTATTAAGACTGATTATTTATTAACACTGGTTATTTGTTAACACTAAATTTTATTAACAATGGTTGTTTATTAACAATGGTTATTTATTAACACTGGTTATTTGTTACGTTGTGGCTAGCGCATTGGTACCGTTGCTTTAATTTTTTATCTTACATAGCGTACATACATCAATTAAGGGTTTCGGTTTGAGCATGCATTCTTTAAATAAAAGAAATAAAAAATCAATCAGAAATCACTACTGTAACTTTAAGAAAAAAATTAAAGTGACGGTACCGTTGCACAAGCAACAGCGTATTTATCAATACTGGTTATTTTTTACACTAGTTATTGCACAGTATGAGATTAGCTAGCACAGTTGCCATTTTAATATTTAAAATTTTCAGAAATTAAAAAAATGTGTTATCTTTTTCTAATGCTTGGAATAGTGCTTTTAAATATATATTTTTTTACTACATATTTTTTTTTTTTGAATAAAAAATTTTGATTGTTATTTATTATATATGTGTATAATTAATATTTTGAACCACTAACATTGTTTTAGTCATTGTTTGTTTTTGTTTGGTCTAAAATTCCAATATAAATCATTGGAAAATTTAACTAAGACAGAAAAATCTCTTCTATAATTCTATGTGAATGTATGTTTTTCTTTAGCAACTGCATCATAAACGCATTGAAATATTTAAAAAATGATGAGCTAATATTTAAAAATAATTTTATTTAGTAATGTTGCACATTCTGGAAATTAGAAAAAATAGTTTCAAAAAAAATTTCAAACTTTATAACTGGAACATATTTTCTTTTATATATATTAAGACCAATATTGAGTTATCTTTAAAAATTTTGTAAACACATCTGGTACAGTAAATTAAAAGTCATTTCAAAATAATAAATCTGTGTGTAAAATAGTACATGAATTTTGCAATCAATTGCACAAAATGTTTATTAAACTGTGCAAAAGATGTACCAAAAATATAAAAAGGAAAGAAACTTTAAGTGAATTAGTAATTAAACCTATAACAGTAAATGATTTAAATCAAGGAAAGCAAATAGATCTTGTAGATCTTTAATGCTTACCTGATAATAATAACAAATTTTATATATTTAAGAGCACCTGACTAAATTTTATAAACTTATGTCATTGATCTCAAAAACTTCAAACTAAGTCATAAAATTTATTTAGCCTTGAAGTACCACTTCACATGCCTGAAAGATCTACATCAAATAGTAGCAATCAATCTGATTGTGGGATAAAAGTTACTGCGAAAAAAAGTTAATCATACAAAAGCTCTTTTTTGTATAAGGATGAGTTCAAACAAAGATAGTTTATCTATAAAAGAACAAAAAGCATGCAAACAATGTAAACAGGCTGTAAACAGGCACAATGGTGCATAGGTGTAATGTGTAAGTCTGTGCTGTTTATATTGTTCAGTAGAGTGTTGTGTTGTTAGTAACTAGCGTAAAGATTTATCTCTGAACTCAGGCTTTCACAGGAAGACATGCAATTTCATGTCTTCATATGACCACGCAAGTTACATTTTGCTATGAAGGTTTGACCGCAACTAATTCAAAAAACATTTTAGAAATACGCTAAATAAAAAATATTCTAAAAAATTGAAATTAATTACATCAAAACTTCTTAACAAATGTTTTTATATTAGCGAAACGATTTTAAATAAAGTAACAATTTACTGAAACAAACTTTTGTTTTTTAAATATAATTGACAGTTGTATATATTTTTTTAATTTAAAACATATAAATTGTTTAAGTGTTCATTTCTAAAATAAATCTTATTAAAAAATAAAAAATTGTTTTGTTTTTATAAACGATGACATATAAGAATATGTCATCGTTTATAAAAATGTCTTTAAATATAAGAATGATTAAAGTTAATGCATTTTAAAAGATAAACAAAATTTCGTTAAAAAAAAAAGTTTTGGAAAACCGTTACAATTTAATAAGTTTGATCTTAAATGCTTTTATATTATCGAAACGCTTTTAATGAAATAAAAAAAAAACACTTCTAATTAATTTAAAAAAAAGTATTTATAAAATGTTTTTTTATTTTATTTATATAACTATGTATTTTTTATGAGAAATATTTAACTTTTGAACATATATGTTGAAACTAAGATTGAAAAGGTTTTTTAATGCGTAAATTAAATAGACAAAGCATTTTTGTTTGATGAGTTTTGTTTTAGTTGCGTTATATACATATATTTATTTTTTTGTGTTTTTGCTTTAACTAAGTATTTTTTTTTATTTTCTCTTTCGTTAATTTTTATTATATATTAAAATTTTTTTTTTAGGTAAGTTTAGGTAAGTTTTTGTAGTGCGTTTTTAAATTTTAAAAATATGCGGTGGTCAAATCGTTAAAACATTTTTTTTTGCGTGGTCATATAAAGACATGAAATCGCACGTCTTTCTGTGAAAGCCTGGAACTACACCTAGCCCAGCCATACTCCAGAAAACCATGATGGATTAAACATCTATGCATGAATTTATAACTGACTTATGACTAAAAAGTTAACCCAGGCATCTTCCAGAGACAAATATCTTTTCTTAAGGTGATAGTAATTGTGATTTGGAAAATAGTTGTGCTCAATGACCGCAACACTAACTCTTACAGGCTAGGGCCAATATTATTTCACTACTTTGGCATATAAAATTCGTTAAATGGTCACACATGAGCCGTGAACGCCTGAGGGAAGAGATGAAGTACATTAGAATAAAGGAGAACTATTTTTTGAACGAAGCATATTTTGACAGTTATCAAGACAAAAATAAAGATTAATAGAGGAATATTTAAAAATAAGTAAGACAGACAATGCAGCTAAAACAGTACTTATGCACCTAAAACAGTAACAATAATAATTAAAAAATGCACCTAAAACATAACAATAATAATTTAAAAAAAATGTTTTATAAACACTAGTATGAACACAGATATATAACAAAGATATCACCAAACAAAAAACTTATAAAAAAAAATTGATTATAAAATAAAAAGTATGCTTACAACAATGAAAGGCCTAAAAATGGAAAAAAACATTAATGCTAATGTGTAAACATAATTTGTGTAGTGATTAAGTAATAAATATCTCCTCAGAGTCGCATCTATTATTACTGGCATTTTGATGAGGATCAGCATTTATAACTAGTTTGTCCCGTCAGGCAAACGTCATTGCCACTTATGCTTTACCCCGCGACTTATGCCTATTCCATACTGCACTAAAAAAGGACCCCCTACAAATAAAGAAAACCCAAATATCCCCAAATTTGTAAAGCACCAATGTTTTTTTGATGATATGATATTAAAAGTGTAGATCTGCTAAACAAACAAAAATAACAAAATAAATCACTAACCATACTACCGAAAGAAAATATGAAAACTCAATAAATTAAAATTCTCATAGAATCACAAAAATAATAATAAATTTATTTTAAGACATATCCTAAACAAACCCAAGACAATCAGAAAGCAGTTAAAAAACCTCATTAAAAAATTTTTAAATCAACAAAACAACAATAGTCTTCAATAACTCTAACATTGTCATAGATACCTCATTCAAAAAATATTGTTAAGAAGTAAAGTTTTCTCTAAGGTCCGCATTAAACATAATTTTGAGACCATAACAAAATAACAAGGAAAAAACATACATCAACAAAACATGTGGAAAGCTGCTAGTTTATTAGAAACGCTCTTTATATATATATATATATATATATATATATATATATATATATATATATATATATATATATATATATATATATATATATATATATATATATATATATATATAATATTATAAAATATCTAAATAAGGATGAGTTCAAACAAAGATAGTTTATCTATAAAAGAACAAAAAGCATGCAATCGATATAAACAGGCTGTATGTGCATATGGGTGTATAGGTGTAATGTGTAAGTCTGTGCTGTTTGTGTTGTTCATTAGAGTCTTGTGTTGTTAGTAACCAGCCTAAAAGATTTATCTCTGAACTACACCAAGCCAGCCCAGCCATACTCCAGAAAACCATGGTGGATTAAATACCTATGCATGGGTTTATAACTGACTTATGACTAAAAAAAAGACTCGCTGACCTGGTTTAATCTTGGTTTATAAAAGACCTAGGTACCCTCAGTCACAATATTCTGTTAAAGAAGTAATGCTACTCTAAAGATTCTCTTATAGCTTGTATGAGAGATAATATTGTGTAAAGTTTTTTTGATATAATTTATGAACATAAATTATGTTTAAGAATATCTTATAATTAATAAAATTTATCTTTAAATTGTTTGATATTTTTATTTAAAATAGTTCATTAAATTCGTAAAAACAAAACAAAAATGAACTAAATTGTAATAAAACTAGCAAAAGATTATTTTATGCAGCGTGGAAAATAACAACCGTCAATGAACACTTGAAATGACTAAAATTGCTATTTCAACCTCTTAAAATGAATTTTTGATGGTCATGGTTGACTGGTTCAAAAAAATATCCTAGTTTTAAAAAGTAAGGTTTGGTAAATAATCAAGATATAATTTGGAAAATGCATATAATAAAATTTCATAAAATCATTTATGTTTTGAAAATGCGTTCAAAATAGTTTTATTGTTTAGGATATGCTACTTTAATTTGCTTTGTTGATAATATTAAATATGATGTATACTATATATATATATATTTTTTTGCTTTATTACTTTATTTTACTGGTTGTAAAAATTCTTTTTTAATAAATTATTAGAGTTCTTATTTTATTATTATTTTAATAAAAATATTATATATATAATTTTAATAATATATCATAATTTTTGTATTTAACTAAGAACATTTTTTTGAACTGTACTTTTAACTTTGTTTTTCTTTATCTTGAAATCTTTTTAATTTGCGCCTTACCATAATAGTATTCTTAAAAAATATATATATATATTTAGTTAATATTTTGTTATACGTATCACCAGTCTTTAAAGAAGCTCATAAAACGTTTGTCTTAATATTAATTATTCAGTTTAACTTAACAAGAGTTAACAACGTTGTTGTTAACTAATTAACATTACCAGTTTGTTACTGGGGCAAGATATCAACTAATTACCAGTTTTTAAAATGATTTTATTAAACAGAGAAATAAGTTGTTTTTATTTTATTATTTTTTTAAATTCTAATTAACTTTAAAAATTCAAATTCTTAGCTATTATTTGAAATTGTTGCACTGTAATTGTTGTATTTATTTGCAAAACTACTGCAATAAAATTTTTTTTTTTAAATAAATTTGAAATCATCAATAGAGCGTTTGAACATTTTTTTTTTATTTATGAAAAAATCAGTCAAATATTTGAAAGAATATTTTTAGTAAAAGCTTTGTTTTATGTAAAAAAAGTAATTGTTAAAGAAGTATTTCTAAAAACGATTTCTTTTACTATTAAGTATTAACTTTATGTTCTCTAATCAAATTTTACTATTACAATTGCATAACATATTATCACTATTGTTTTACAGTTAATAAATACTTTTTTTCTTTTTATTTAATGTTATTGCTTGTTATTGCTGTTTTTATGTTGTTTTTTTTTTTTTTTTTTTTTTTTTTTTTTTTTTTAAATAGTCAATAATGCAGATGTTCCATTGAAGAAGTCATTTTCAGTTTTAAAAGATAAAAAACTAAAAGCACTCTCAGAATCATCGTCAGATCAAGAAGAAATAAGTTTTTATACTGACAGTACTAAAGTTGAAAAGATTGACTGCCTATGGCTAGGTATTTTATTGATTATAATCTTATTGATTACAAAGTATAATTAGTATTGATTAGCTATATCTATATAATAATATAATAGGTTAAAATAACCACTTTTTGGTTAAAAACAAAGGATATATTGTAAGCATTTAAAAAAGTTTTAAAAACTATTTTATTGCATTTATTTATTAATTAATAAATAAATAGCATTAATAAATAATAATAAAAAAATGTTTTTTTTTTTTTTTAATTTTTTTAATTCCAACAAGGCTGAAAGCAAGATAACTACACAGACCAATAAAATATTGCTAAACATATGAATAAGGAAAACAAGATGAAGGGAGCAAATTCCAAAAAACTGATGTTTGAGGAAAAAAGCTAAATGAAAAAGAATTTTTGGACCACTTAGGAACAGTCACAGTAAAAGGATCAGATTTAATTGAATGACAAGTAACACAAGAATGAACTTTAGTCTTTAGAGCAGCATTTATTACAGTATTTATAGAAATAAGAATGAGAAGCAATATTTCAACAATGGTTAAAGCTTGGCTGCAAGACCAGCTCCAACTATGTTTACAATGCGTTTTTGCACCTTGTCTTAAAGAGAAAGAACTCATTTCAAGATCTACTCTAGATATGGCATATAACAATATTCTATATAAAAAGGGATTTGAGATTTATAGAGATGAAGAGTAGAATCGGGGTTAAGAAAGTGGTGAGCACCATGCAACCTTAGCAAATGCTAATTTTGCAATGGATTTGATATATGGTTTCCATGATCGGAAGTAAGAGTTAACCCTAGAAGACAAAGGGTAGATGATGAGGAAGATCTAGATTGTTGCAATAACAATTTGCTTTAAAAAAATTTAGTTTTATCTGGCTTAAAGTTCACCAGCCACTGAAAACCCTATGCTGTAGCAGAAAGGAGATCCTTTTCAAGCTTAAATGCCCCATCCAAGCAATCACAGAGTGTTGACTTCTTATCAAGACAAGAATAAATGTTAGTATTATTAAAAAAAAATCCAACTTAGATGTGATTTTCTGCTAGATTGTTAATGTAAATTAGAAAGAGTTTGGGGCTAAGGATAGAACCTTGAAGAACCCTTGAAATTACAGGAAATGAAAAAGAGCGCTGTCTATCAAGAACAACTTTTATACTACGATTGGTAAAGAAGGATTCAATAGTCTTGACGTTGTTACCTGATACACTATAAGAAGAGAGCTTATGGAGAAGAACAGCATGCTAAACTTTATCAAAGGCTTTAAAAAGAGCGATAGCCTTAACCTCTCCACATTTATCTAATGCACAAAAAAACCTATTGATTATTATCGTTAACAATTCAGCAGTAGAATAAGAAGATGGAAATCCATATTGATGATCAGAAAGTAAGTTATTAGATTCAAGATAAGAGATTAAATGTTTGTTAATTAAAGACTCAAAAACCTTGCTTATGATAGGAAAAATACTAATGGGTTAGTAGTTAGACGAGTCAGAATGCTATCCAGAATTTAAAAAAATAAAGATAACAGATGCCGCTTCCCAGCAGGCTGGAAAACAAGACTCTGATAAGTACTGGATAAATAATTTTGAAATTATAGACGGCAGCTCCAGAGAACAATTCTGCAAGGCGTTAGCAGGTATGTTGTTCAGATTACAATCTGTATAAGAATCTAAGAAGGAAATCACTTTAGATACAGAAGCTGGAATGATACAAATGTTAAGCAATGGATCAACCTCTTTGTTGGCTATATTAGGTAGAATGTGATTAGTGGAATCAAAAGATGGGGTTGATAAAAAGCTCTTATAAAACAGTTCAGCTTTGTCTTTAGGTATGGTAGCAAAATCTGAACCATGCAAGAAAGGTGGAATAACAGATTTGCCCTTTTTATAGACACCGTTAAAGATTCTCCAGAAGTCTTAAATGCCTAATTTTTGAGAACTGAAGCTAGTCAGCAGGTAGAATCTGTTTACCCCTTAAGTCTTACATAGGAAGCCTTCTACATGACAGTAGCCGGATGCATTTTACGTCTGCATTACAACCTTGTTAGTAAAGATAGTAATAAATAAGTATTACAACCTAGTCCTATAAAAGCAATACAGCTTGGCACTGGTAAGTAACACCACAGTATGCTGATAAGTAACACCACAATTTGGTAACACTGCTGTTTTGGCTAAGTATATAAAGTAGCTTTACACATTGCCAAGTATCACCACTTGTAAAACATGTCAATAAAATAATTATAAAATTGCAAATAGTAACTAAAAAAATATTCATGCAATAGTTGCAGTCTAAAAAGTCTACATTTTTTACAAATTTTTAAAAATAGTAATGCTATGAGTAAAATTGGGGAGATTGGCACCATGTCACACTTTTGGTTTTTACTATTTTTTTAATACTTCATAATACTTTTTTAATACTTTTTTTAGGCGATTGGTTTAATTTGTAGAATAAATTTATACGTACAAAGTTAAATTTATAAATTACCAAAATACAACAAGTTGAACTTGTGAAACAGTTTAAAGTAAAATTAGCAATTTGTTCCAAGATAATAGCTATATATTATATATTTTTTATATAATATTTATTATTATTTTATTAATATATTTATTTAGAACTTATTTTTCCTCCAGAGAATGCTAATTATTATGTTTAATTTGTTTTTGTAATAATGTTTTTTTTAGTTCATTCATTAAAATAAACAAAAGCACAAGATTTTGATAAATCATATTAATTTTTATATAAAAAATTTCTTCAAATATTTAACCAAATATTATTTAACTGTAAAAGCAAACTACCAGCATAGTTTGAATAAAAAATTAAAGGTTTTCTATTAAAATAATTGTAAACACATTATAAAGCAAACAGCTTAAAAAATTACATACAGTAGTCACAAAATAGTTACTTAGTAATTATATTTTAGTAATCACCGAAAATTATTTTATGTTAACTTTTTTTTCACAAAAAAGAAATGGTTTCAACAATATTTTTTCTATTCTAATTTGTGCATATTCATTATTTTTTTATTTTTGCTTTTTTGATTGTTGATAATAAAACTATATTTAACTAATAATGATTATGTTGACGATGACGACAGGGATGATGATGATGATGATGATGATGATGATGATGATGATGATGATGATGATGATGATGATGATGATGATGATGATGATGATGATGATGATGATATAAATAAGTATGCTCACTGATACCTCCATAATTCAAGTTCAAAGATTCAATTATTCATATGCAGCAAAAAAAAATTTGAAGACGATTCTAGAATGTTTATTTTTAGTTTTATTTTGTTGATATTTTTTTTTAATTTTTTATTGTATATAAGTTAAAATTGCATTATTTTTAAATTAAAAAATATGTCATAAAATTTTTTAACTTTTCTATCATTTTTATGTAAAAGGAAATCAAGCCAGTGATGCTGAATCAACTGATAGTGACGATGAAGGTTTGTTAAATCGTGCAGGTGTATGGACGTTGGAAGAATGCGTGCAAATTTGTAGAGATAAAATACTTCGTTTGCGTGCATTGTATGTTCAACAGTTTAAACGCATTCAATATATATTGAAAGAAGAGCGTCGAAAAATGTTAATGGCATATGATATGGATCCACATATACTCTCAAAAGTTGGTTTTGCAAAAATTCATGGTATTTTGTTTTTAAAATTTGTTTCTGTTTTAGTACTAAGTACAATATTTATATTTAATTACAAAATATGTGGTTAAATAGTTAGATACTGTTTATGATTTAAAAATATTTACAAATAAAATCCTTTCAAATTGTAGCCGCCTAGATTTGCTAACAATGCTAAAAACATAGATATTGTCACAGTCCTGTAAGGCTGAGGTCAAAGCAAAGACCTCATATTTTGTAACCCACGGCAAACCAGTGGAAAGGGAAAAAATTGTAAAAATTTTGAATGGATAATTTAAAGTAAATGTTTTATAACACATGTTATCATAGTTGCAAGTAGGAGCCTGGTATAAAAATCTTGTTTGAATGTATTATCTCTAGAAATATTAAACAAAAAAATTAAACATAAAAAACATCACGACCACCTAACTGTTTTGATATATCCTAATTCTACTACATGGGTTGTGTTGTCCATTATTCCCAGTTTATGAAATCTTTACCTTAACTCAGAAGATTTGATGCCGCAAAAACCGACCCAAGAACAACTATTTTCAATTTTAAAATGTTTCTACTTAAAAATTTTTTTTTTTTTTTCATAAAACATGGCAGTTATTTTTAGTCAGAGCTAAAAATTACGCTTCAATTTTTTTTTTTTTTTTTTTTTTTTAATTAATTTTTTAACATATATTTTATACAAAAATTAATAAATTATAAAAAAAATCAAAACTTTTTTTTTTTTAAATACAAGGAGGTTTTCGCCAAGCACTGATATCATTTAATAATAATAGTTTTGAACTATTTTAATTAAAAGTAAATTTCATAATTATTGCTGAGCATTTATTTACTTCAGATAAATTACTATTGGCTTCTAACTGTCTAATCTAACTGTCATTAAACATCAATTAGTACAGGTAAAATCTCTTCATTAACATCCTTACTTCTTATGGAATTTTCAATCAATAAAAGTTGCAACACCACTTCTGGTAATACTGATTTACATAAAAACTTCAAACGTCAAACTTTGTTCTTTTTTTCTAGTAACTCTCAACTTAATAGTGGTTGCTTGCAGCCTTGTTAGGAGTGAATCAGAATTAAAAAAAAAAATCCAACTCTAGAATCTAATGGCCATACTCTTCCTGCCATTCCAGTTATACAAGTTAACGCATTGTTAGACATCCAAATCACTCCGATTTCCATTGCTAAAGTTTTTCTCAATTTAACTCTTTTGCGGCATGAGGGTTATCCATAAGTTATGTTGCGCTCTAAAGGGGGGGGGGGGCTTGTGGTTTTGTGACAACTTTTATAAGACTTGTTACTAAAGAGTTAAGGTGTTGTGACAAGGGGATAGAGGGAGTTGTCTAAAATGATAAAAAATGTGCATAGCATAATTTATGGGCGACCCCTTGTGGTCCAGACAACATTTTCTGTTATAGTCATAAAAAAGTGTTTTCCAAAACTCTCTTCAATTCCCTCTAAACTACTTAATGAGTGCTTGACTGAATCTTGTTTTCTTGCCTGCTGAAAAATGGCATTTGTGGTTCCAGTTTTTAAAATTTTAAGAGATTTTTCAACTCTTTTTTTCCAATTTTAGTCCAATCAGTGTTCTCTCAATTATTAGCAAGGCCTTTGAGCCTTTCATCAACAAACTTCTAACATTCTTTCTTGAATCTAATAGCTTACTATCTGACTATCAACATGGTTTTTGAGCTGGCATGCAGATCTTCTCCATAATCTTTCTTCATATGGAGTATCTGGGATAACTAAGTTTTTGAGATAATTAAATTGTTTCTTTCTAACTGCTTTATTAGAGTCATCCTCAGAGGTAACACTTTTTTTAATTTCCAGTATCTTCTTTGGTACCTCAAGGCTCTAACCTTAATCCTGTATTGTTTCTTGTCTACATTAATGATTTTCCTGGCAATCTTACATTTAAAGTGGCTCTAAATGCTGTGACTTGTGAAATTAAACTCCAACAAATCTCAGTTATTTACTGCAAACAACTATCACAATACTATATTAATGAATGGCAACCCTCTCATTGACTCTTCTTTACGTCTTTTTGGAATATTGTTTGACCTCTTTCTCTTCTTGACAAGGTCCGAAAATGCATTGTGAACCTGCCAACCTGGAATCTGCCAAGCTTAAGCCTCTCTCCCATTGCCATAAAATTGCATTTCTTTCTCTTTTCTACAAATACTCATGGTCCCTGGTCAAAGGTGCTATCATCACTAGTTCCTTCAACAATACGCGTTCTTGCTTGACTTGTCATTCAACGAAGTTGCATTCTGTTAGTCTATCTGTCCCTGCATGCTCTAAAAAATTTTATTTGTCGAGATTTTTTCCTCGCATTTCAATCCTTTAGAACTCTATCCTTCTGTCAACTGTTTCCTTGCTCTTTGCTGTATTTTTTTTTCTAGTAATTCCAAACTTAATGGTGGTTGCTTGCTGCCATGTTGAAAGTGAATCAAAAAATAAATAATTATTTAAAAAAAGTTAATGTAAAAGTAATTGTTGCTGTAAATAAAATATAATGAAACTTGTTTCAGATTTTGATTCTTTTAATAAAAATTTTCTGTCCCAAATCCCGTAAATGATTTTTTCTTAGAAATTTGTCAGCTACTAACATGAGTAAGAATCTTTATTATGTGGTAGACTAGTGGTAGCACACTTGGCTCACAAATGAGAAATCTACTCGTCTGATGAAAGTTTTGTACTGAATCTGTTTATCTGCGTATAACAAGTTTGATTTCTAATAGATTTGTTATGTAAAAATAGTTTTAAAATGGTTTAAAAATGGGACAGTAGTTAGATACATATATACTATTTTCATGATATTTAATAAAATATTTGAACAGTTTAGTTCAAGTATACATTATCTTTCATCTTTTTTGTAATTTTTTTTTGCAAACTGGAAAAAAAAACTGCAAATGGAAAGTGGTCCCCTGGACCTGCTTTGTAAGTTTTTTAAAGTTACCTTTTTTCTCTAAAATGACATATTTCTGAAATATACTAAATTCAAATATTTTCAGTCTACCTGCCTCCACTAGCTCAGCCATAATAATGTGACTTATGTTTAAATCAATAATTGAAAAAAAGCTGTTTATTTCACAGAGGAATTTGAAAATAACATAAAATATTGTTCCTCGATAAAACTTTTAAAAGGAAAAAAGTTTTTTGAATGTAATTTGTTTTAAGAAAACATATTACAAATGATAAAGAGTTGCTCTAAAAGCACTTCAATTACTTTTTGGTTTAAGACCTTAAAGGGACCACACAGTCTCAAGACATGTTGTGTTTATATTAAAGAGAGTGTTAAAAAAAAACGTCTGAGCAAGTTTTTTTTGATTAAATCTAATTAATAAATGTATACCAAGAAAAACAAATCTTGTTGTTTTAGTCGAAGCTTGTCTTCTCCATTTTTTGCGGTATTTGGAGTCTTTAAAATAAACACAATTTTCCAGGCGCATTATACAGACTTGATAATTTATTCAAGTGCGTTTAATTTATTAAAGTTTTAGTAGATGACATCATTGGAAACATTCTAGAAATTCTTTAAAATTTTTAATATTAAATTTCACTAAAATAGCTAACTATAGTTAGTTATTTTATTTTCTAAAATCTTTACATTGAAAAATATTTTATGTTTTTTTGTAGCTATCAGAGCCGTGGCTATATGGGCCACAGCCATGGTGGACCTAGGGACCCCTATGACGCCAAATCGGGTTATATAATATCTCAAATGATTCACGAGTGTGTTCTTTACATTTTGATGCAAGTTGTTTCGACAAATCTAACAAGCAATTAATTAAACCAAGCACTAGAAAGAGATATAAAAATTAAGAATATACTAATAAAATCTATAATTTGTAATTAACTTTCAAAATTTTGGCAATTGAAAAAAAAAATATTATAAAACATTTATTTTTGTAAACAAATGATAATAGTTTAAAAGATTTACGGCTTTGCAGATGTGGCTCCAAGAATGAGCCATAATATTAAAGTAATAGTTCATTTGATAATATATTCTTAAAACAATTTATGCTAGATATCTCAAAACCCAACAAACCGTGAATAATACAATTGCTAAAACATTTCAACAGAATAATCTAGAACTTTATTTCGCTTAGCATATTTTTTGAACCAATAGAATTAGTTTGTTCGTAAATTTGGCAGGTTTTTAGTGTTCGCAAATATTATTTTTATTCTTCTGCAAGATGTTTTAAGAACATTCAAGTTAGTTATGTTTCCATGTATGTCCGTAAAATAAAAATTAATTGTTTTACACCAGCCTCCCATCAATAGATTTTTTATCTCTTTTAGTGGGCAAATTTAGGTGTTTTAGACCAGTCAATCGGCAAATAAAGACCAAATAGTACAGACAGCATACTTGGAATTTTAGTCAGTCTGCAAATTTAAAAAACATATACACTCCTAATTGAGGGGGGGGTCTATGTTTCCTAATTTTTGTTGCTTGAGGGGGGGGGGGAAGGCATAACCCCTATTTCTCACCTAAAAAGCAAATATTTTCAAACTTTACATATTTTATAGTGTAATTTTATGTTTATGTACGACTTGATTTCTGCTACTTACTACTATGGGAAGGGGGAGTCAACTTGTTTTCACAAATCCCTCCTCCTTCCCCCGCCATTACATATATTGAATATTATAATAATGGAAATATAAATAATGAAATAAGATTACCTCAATACCAAAAAATACATTTTTAAAAATCAGAGAAAAAGTGCGTTAATCATTTTTTTTTTTTTATTTACAAAGTAAATTAATAAAAGTGCATTATTATTTTGGGTTAAAAATTATTTTATCTAATATTTTGAAAGAAAAACTTATATCAAAAGAAATCAAAATACATGTGGTCTAGCTGATTATTCAAAAAAAGTTGCGCAAATAAAATACTATTTTGTTTTTAATTTTTTTTCAAACACATTTTAGAACTTTAAAATATAATAAAAATGAATATGATTTGGAAATTGTATGTAAAAAATAATAATCGGTGTTTTAAACAAACAAAAAAAATCTATGACATCATGTACTAAAACTCTTATGAATTAAACGCACTTGAATAAATTATCAAGTCTGTATAATGCGCCTGGAAAATAGTGTTTATTTTAAAGATTCCAAATACCGCAGAAAACGAAGAAGACAAGTTTCAACTAAAGCAACAAGATTTGTTTTTCTTGGTATACATTTATTAATTAGTTTTAATCAAAAAAATTTTGCTCATACGTTTTTTTTGACGTTCTCTTTAATATGAACACAACATGTTTCAGGACTTAGTGGTCCCTTTAAAGACTTCTTACTCCAACAGCACATTAAATATGAGTTCTGATGTATATATTGTTGAAGGTTAGTTATGGAAAATAAATTTGAAACTCTATTTTTTTAAATAAATGCTAACTACTTTTTACCCAACCAAGTTGTTAACACACATTAAAGGAAATATATTAAATATATATATATATATATATATATATATATATATATATATATATATATATATATATATATATATATATATATATATATATATATATAACAATTAATGATCAAGAATCACATTTTATTTTATTTATTTTGTTATTATTTTTTTTCAGGTGATTCGGAGAAAGATTATAAACTCGATATGTATCTTCAAAACTATCAGCAAGTAACTGGCCCTGCCCTACTTTGTGAAAAGCTAATGAAGGAAAAAAGATTGAAAGGGACTACATTGAGTTCTAGAAGGCCTGAACTTCCACGGTATCTTATAGTTATTTAAGTTACCTTTCTAAATTTAATTTTGTTTAGTAATTTAAATGTTATGCAATACTTAGAAACTTTACCTACTTCAGTATTATGTTGTCAGTGACATAATATGTTACTTTCTACATAACATTCTACCTAGATTTAAGTGTTGATCTTTTTCCTGTTTTTTTTTTTTTTTTTTGTGTGTCCTAAATACCATGTATACTGTCTGTCTAACATGAACCGACACTGAGGTTCTAGTCAATATTAATCAATTACTGCTAGTTCTTACTTTACCCATAAGTTAATGTATGCGGACTTGGCCTTCATTATTTTTTTTATAAGTATGAGTGCTTATCTTTAGTGGTAGTTTGCAGAGAGCTTATCTTTAGTGATAGTTTGTAGAGAGTCTATATTATCTTTAGTGGTAGTTTGTAGAGTGCTTATCTTTAATGATAGTTTGTAGAGTGCTTATCTTTAGTGGTAGTTTGTAGAGTGCTTATCTTTAGTGGTAGTTTGTAGAGAGCTTATCTTTAGTGGTAGTTTGTAGAGTGCTTATCTTTAGCGATAGTTTGTAGAGACCTTATCTTTAGTGATAGTTTGTAGAGTGCTTCTCTTTAGTGATAGTTTGTAGAGAGCTTATCTTTAGTGGTAGTTTGTAGATTGCTTATCTTTACTGATAGTTTGTAGAGTGCTTATCAAGCATACATATATATATATATATATATATATATATATATATATATATATATATATATATATATATATATATATATATATATATATATATATATATATATATATATTTGTAGAGTGCTTATCAAGCATACATATATATATATATATATATATATATATATATATATATATATATATATATATATATATATATATATATATATATATATATGTATATATATATATATATATATATATATATATATATATATATATATATATATATATATATATATATATATATATATTTGTAGAGTGCTTATCAAGCATACATATATATATATATATATATATATATATATATATATATATATATATATATTTGTAGAGTGCTTATCAAGCATACATATATATATATATATATATTATATATATATATATATATATATATATATTTGTAGAGTGCTTATCAAGCATACATATATACATATATATATATATATATATATATATATATATATATATATATATATATATATATATATATATATATATATATATATATATATATATATATATATATGCTTGATAAGCATATATATATATATATATGAAGTTTTAAACAAGTCTTTATAAAAGTAGAAACAAAAAAAATAAAGCAATTAAATAATTCAATTGTAACGGAAGATTTAATTTAATTTATTCATATTTTAAAGGAACTTAAAAAATTATCTTTCAAACGATTTTAAGAAAGACATGGAAAAATACTTCTGAAAAATTTTCTTAACTATAAAGAAACTTATCTTAAAAGAAGCAAATAAATCTTGGTAAAAAAAAGAAAAATAACTTAACTAAAACAGCAGAAATTAAATTAAATTCAACTAAATTAAATAATAAACTATAACGATAAGATTATCTAAATTACGTTTGGAGTAAATAACTTTAAACCGTTTATCTTTACTAATGCTTTTTTAATATAATTATGCGAATTATGCTAAACGCTTTTTAAATAAAGTAACAACTAACAAGGTAGCAGGAAAATATCCCCCGGGAAAAATCCCCCCGAAATAATCCCCCGAGAAAAAATGCACACCATACTTCTCATACCTTGCAAGAATACTAAATATAGTTGACTTTAGTATTCCTTCATTTTAAAAATGTTTATATGTTAATTTCTCTTGAACAATCACTTGAACAATTTTCATAGAATGTTACAATTCGTTTTGCGAGGGCTTCTTGATCAAACCTTGTCATTTTTTTTGTATAGAAGTCTAGATAAAAATTGTAACATTCTATAAGTGATTTAAATACATTAATGTTTGATCTTCAAAATAAACAACAATTTGAAGGTTGAAAAATTACTCTCCTTATTTAAATCAGTTTCAAAAAAAGTTCGAAGACTTATGCATAACCCGTTACGATGGTTTGCAAAAAAGTTCATATTTTTCCAGTTCGTCAGGGTCAGGGTTAGGGTTTCACATTTGCTACCTTTGAGGAATAGCGCATAACTTGACATTTTGATGAAAAATGAAGTATTTTATATAAATATTTAAAATAAATAAATAAATAAACATAACTGCATATTGATAATTTTTATGTAAAAAAAAATTTTCTTTTTTTGGGGGGATATTTCCCAGGGAGATTTTTTCCGGGGGGATTTTTTCCTAGAACCACTAACAACTGACGATTGTTTAATAAACGCGCACATTTAAAAGTTTAAAATAAGATTCTTAATTCTTCGCACTAAAGAAAAACTAATTAAATCGTGTATTTAAAATTTTGATTTAATTTTTTTTTTATTTAAAAACATTTATGATAAAAAATAAACACTTTAAAATATATATATATATATATATGTTTTTATAAAAAAAATCTTTAGTAGTGACTTGTTACTTTATTTAAATTCAATAAAATAAAAACGTAAGTAAAGATCGAAGTTAGTTAATTCAAACAGCTTTCAAAAAAGTTTTTTTTTTCTTCTCCAAAAAAACTTCAATGATTCTTGTGTGAAGTTTATTAGAAACCTTCGCTTATTAAAGTCTAAATTTAAAAAAAAAAAATTTTCAAACTTTTACTTTTTTAGTTTTTACTTATAAAAAAATCTTATATAATTAAATAATATAAACTAGCAGTAAGCAACCCGTAATACGGGTTAAAAATAACTAAACCATTAGTAACAACATAACTTACTACGTTATCTAAAAAAATATATCTAAATACAAATTTATCTGTAAATAATTTTACAAATAAATTTGTATTTAAAGTTCGACTCCCTATTAGCAATGTCATTGCTTATAGTTATAGTTATATTATAAAACAGCAAACAACACATAAAATATGTTTATACACGGTCATTATCAATAGTGTTAAGAAGTATGCAAGAGCTCTGTACTTATTCAGGTTCTATCTCGCTTTATTAATTCTTATTTAAGTGAGACTAAGACAGTGTTTCCAAGGCACCATGTTAAAAAGAAGACACAATAATTAACATAAGAGAGTTACTGTTAAATATGACAAAAACTAATTTTTTTTTAGGATATATTATTTGTTTTGAAGTGAAGGTGTTTTTTTTATCATTTAGTTGAAATTTTCCATAACATCTTTAAATTTTTTGGAGCAGATAAAAAATTTTATTATAATACTTATATAAATGTTAACTTCTAATGTCTAACGGGACACTTACAGGGTTTTGCAAAGTTATAAGTGCACGTTTGCAAAGTTATTAGTGCACGTTTGCAAAGTTATAAGTGCACGTTTGCAAAGTTATAAGTGCATTTATAAAGTTAATTTTAACTCTTATATTTTAAATATCAATGAAAAGAAAAGTATGGAAAACAATTACAGAAGTAACTAAAAATACGATTATTTCAATGAGAAATTGTGAAAAATATTCAATCAAGGAAATATCCAACGCTTGTAATTTAACTCGAAATGCTGTTGGTCAAGTTATAAAAAATAGTGATAATAATATACCCTTCACGTCATCTACAGTAAAAAGAAAAGAAACGTATAAAATCAAAAGTTCTATAAATACAAACATTGAACAGACAATATTTAATTCCGTGGTCTGTAACAATGCCGTAGTTCAAAAAGAAATTCAAACGCACATTTTAGAACAACATGGTAAAAATGTTTCAATCTCGTTAGTTTCCTGTAAATTAAAAAAAATTAAATTTGACACGAAAAAGATTAGCAATCATTCCTCAAGAAAGAAACACCATAGAAAGAATAAATCAGAGATCAATTTTTGCGGCAGAAGTTGCTAGAATTGCTGATTCAAATTTGGTTTTTTTAGACAAAACCAGATTCAATAAACATACAGTGTGCTCATATGGCTATTCTCCAAAAGATACAAAAGCGTACTTGACAGTTCCTGCAAATAAAGGACAAAATGTTAGCCTCATGTGCTTAATTTCCAATTTAGGAGTTGAATGTTACCAATACAAAAGCGGCGCATACAATACACAATCATTTATTGATTTCATCAACATCAAACTAGTACCATTCTTTGCAGTAAATCCAAATAAAATTCTTATCCTAGATAATGCAAAATTTCATAAAGCAGCTGCAGTACTTCAATTACTAAGAGAAAAAAATATTACTCACTAGTTTTTAGTACCATACTCCCCTGAATTGAACCCAATCAAAGAGTTCTTTTCAATGTTAAAAATCCAATTTCAAATTCATGCGTTTAATTCATAAAAGTTTTAGTATTTGACGTCACGGTAGACTTTTAACAAAAGAAAAGTGTAATTAAACTAAGCTGCGTTTTTCTACTGTAGTATTTTTTTAATATACAGCAAAATAAATTTATTTGTATTATTTTTCTAAACATCGCAAAAAAAAATTTATAAAAAGAAAAAATGATAAATTATTTTTATTTTATAGGAGCAACTTGTTTTTTACAGATATCTTAATGATTTTTCAATTTATATATCTACTTATATTTCTTTTGTTCTTAAATTAAAACAAATATTAAAGCTTTACTTACGAATCTTATGATTTTCATACGAGTGTTTTATATTATATAGAACGTTATGTATACGGTCTCTCGTTTTTGTGCAAAAGAGCCCAGTATTATATATTCTGAATCTTACTTATTTTTATTTAAACAATCGGAACTTTTTTCTAACTTCTCTAGTTATTTTTACGCTATGATATTATTTCTTTTCCCGTCGAAAAAAAGTATTAACAATTAATTTCATAAACTGACAGTACTAATTAGAGATATATGATGAATTGTTAACTTTTTTTATTATAAAAATTTTTTGATTACGCTGATTTATTTTAAATTGCTAAATTTGCTAAATTGGATACGGATAAAAAGGAAATATCATTTTATTTTACATTTGATTTTTGATAATGAAACTTTTAAAATGTCGGCAACTCCATACCAATTAGAACCTGTTAAGGTTATGAAAAAAAATTCAAGAATACACTAAACAATACAGTTGACAGTAGTATCAGATATGAAAATTCGTGAAAGGATTTGTGAGATCCTGATTTTGCATTAAAAGTACAATTAATTGCAACACAAGTCGGCATTAGAAATTTTGATTATAAGTTTACTGTTCAATATTTTATAACCATCAAATAAAAACATAAAGAGTGTATATTTTCGCCCGTTTTATACAACTAATATTTAACAAAAATACGGACAAATTATTTTTATATAACGCAATAATTAACACATTAATTAATGATAATAATTCAAGATAAATGGTAATTTAAATTGTCAAAATGTCATAACGCGCGTTAAAAAACATATGATATTAGGTATTTCCCAATTTGATAACAAAACATAATTATTATTTGTGTTCTCCTGTATCACATAAATACGTCACATGGTGTCTAAAAGAAAAATATAATAGATAAGTAAATATAATAGAAAAGAAAAACATTTTTAAAACAGGAAAACAATTAACCTGTTTTTGGCAAACTGCAGTTGTTGTTTTAATGAAGCGGTATTTGATGGTGTTGTTCAATGACATTATTTCATGCTGGCTTTTATTGAGGACGAAAAAAAGGTTTCAAAATGTTTAATAAATTAACATTTATTAAAAAGCCAATTAAAAATGTTTTAAAGAATAGAACTATGAACAACACTAAAGATAAAAAAAACTTATTGAAATATAAACAAATTGTGTTTATAGCAATATGTTTTGTCTTGGCTTTTAGTGAATGATTAGAAACAGTAAGCTCCATGAATAGAACTACCAATTAATCATTTTTAAGATAGACACCAACGGGAAGGTAAGCCAACTGTCTATCAACACAAATCATCACAACAATGTTACAACGATAACGCACAACGATAACGCACAACAAAAGTACATAAGATATTTATAAGTACACATTACACTTGCTCTATACAATGGGAAAGTCAAACCACTTTGAAACCATGGAAACTACATAAAATAGACAAAGAAACAAACTATAAACATATCGTCACGATCATAGCACAATCGCCTAAGTCATTTTTTTCTTGTTTTGAGAAAACTAAAAAAAACTGAATAACTTCAGTATTTCTTTTGCTACGTCACTTTGGTTTATTTTTGGCATTTTTTAACTTAGATGCTTTCATATATTGCTTTAGAAGTGATATGTGTATTACCGTTGAGACACAATAGGATATAGGTCAAAAACAATAAGATATAAGTGAAAATGCGGATTTAGGCAGAAGTGAAAAAGTTAAAAAAAACTCCTTTCTGATTGGTTTAAGATATAGGCGATTTGCCATATTATAGAAGACTGTTTAAGCTATATATTTTAACTCTTAACTTCCGAAAAACCCCCAAAAAATGACTTAGGCAATTGTGCTATGATCGTGACGATATAACATTATAAAACATATTAACACATTACATATTTGTATGTACATATGAGGCTTAATATTAATAGACATTATGTGTTTCCAGAATAATTAAAAAAGGCTAGACAACACAACCTAGCCACAACAAAGCAGTAACTTCACTTGGCACTAAACGCTGCCAAGTCACACCTCTGCTTTAAGTACACCGCTTGGCTGGCAAGGTTAACTATCTTGCTCGAAACGTTTGCCAAGTCACACCACTTTGAAAACATGGAAACAACGTAATATAAACATATATACACAAACTATAAACACATATACACAAACCCTAAACACATAACCTTGATAACACATATAGCCCAAGTATTACATGAACAATTTAAATAACAACTAACACATAACATACATATAACACTTACATAACACATATAACAATTATAAACATGTATAAAGACAAATATAATTACTAAAACAATATAAAATAAAACTATGAAAAAAAGAAATTTTTAAAAAATAAACTATTAAATGCTCTAGCTAAACCACAATGCTGACAAATATGATTCATTTCTCCTAAATAATTATAATCTGGAATAGTATTACTTCTTGCAATACAATCCATTCTTTCATGTCTACCAGCATATCTAGCATTTTGTTGATTATTAATTTCATCTTGCCTCAGCCTATTTCTTGCATTTCTGCGACGATTATTATCAACTTGCCTTATCACATTGCCCTCATTTTGATTCAAATTATTAGATATGCTAGCCGAGCAGCATATCTAATATTTTGAAGATGATTAATTTCATCTCGCCTCAGCCTATTTCTGGCATTTCTGCGACGATTATTTTCAACTTGCCTATTAACATTTTCATCATTTTCTAAAGTAATAGCCACTTCTAGCATATCATCTATTTAAATTTTACTTTTGATTGATAATAGTAACAAAAAAACTTGATCCAGAAGATTGTGATCTTTTTTTCTTTTACTACTCTAAATTGCACATACAAATTATTTTTAAAAAATGACAGGAAATTTTTATTCAAAATAAACTAAATTATACAACAATCTTGTGCTTTTTTTTATAAAAAAATTTTCATAAATATATCTGATAAGAGATGTTTAAACAAAAAATTAACCTATAAAAATAATCTAAATAAAAAAATTAACAAATAGTATTAAAAAATAATGAATAATAAAAATTTTAATAATAAAAGTGCTGCTTAAACAAAAAATAGAAGAAAAAAAGAAAAAAAAAAGTATTTGTAAACCCCTTTTTGTAAACTTCAATATTATTTCTATAAAAAAAATAGTTTAAAAAATATTAAAATAATTTAACCTTTACAAACAATGAAATGACTGTTCAAAAGTTGTAGTTTAATTTAATTTTCTAAATTCTAAAGAAAAGAACAAAAACCTAACAGCATCACTGAAATGTCAATAATATAATAAGCAATATGACAAAATTCAAATTCAATATATAAAAGATTATTTATCTGTTTTTCTTTTCTCTTATTACTTACTTTTTTTTTTCTTCATTATTAAGACTATCTATTTTACATACTAAAATATCTATATTAGATTAAAATTAGAAGATTAAATTTATTAAAGCTTTACATAAGTTAAAAGCAGTTATAAACACTAAATTATTAAATTCGAAACAATGAAAAGAAATAAAATCTGGTGGAAATCAATAAATTATAAACTTAAAAATATTAGAAATTTACATGTGGTTTTTTTACAGTTAATTATCTACTATAGTACATTTTTCAAAGCTGATTAACTGATATGGTATATATTGGGGGCAATAACAGACATGTTATTGTGAACCGAAAATTAAAATAATAGTCTAAACAAATACCAAAAAAAATAACAACAAAATTAAAAATATATTTATTTCTTTGAGAAAAAAAAACAGCAACAAAAAATTGTAAATATCTTCAGATATTTACAATTTTTGTAAATATCTGAAGATATTTAAAATTTTTTTGTTGCTGTTTTTTCCTTGGTGCCTTCCAGCACCCATGTATGGATGAGCTCTCCATTTGAATGAGGGCTCATCCATACCATTATTAAGGCACCATTTATAAAACTGAACATGTTGATATTTGTATTTTGAATAAAATTGCAATTTGAAAAAAAAAAACATAAAAATATAAAGCATAATCCTACCAACTGTAGTAGAACCAGATGACGATGCTAAAAAAATGGAAAAAATAAAATAAAAACCAAACATGTTGATATTTGTATTTTGAATAAAATTGCAATTTGAAAAAAAAATGCATAAATATATAAAGCATAATCCTACCAATTGTAGTAGTACCAGATGACGATGCTAAAAAAATGGAAAAAATAAAATAAAAACTGAACATGTCGATATTTGTATTTCGATTAAAAAATAAAGCATAACCTTACCAATTGTAGTAGTACCAGATATCAGCGTCAGCGCTAAAGAAATAAAAAATAAAATAAAAGTAGGGTAAAATAAGAGTAGGATAAATAAAAACTGAACATGTTAATTTTTGTACTAAATATCGAGCATAACCCTACCAATTGTAGTAGTACCACCAGATGTCAATGCTAAAGAAAGGGAAAATAAAATAAAAGTTAGATAAAGTAAAAACTGAACATCTTAATATTTGCATTTTTATAAAAATATAAAGCATAACCCTACCAGTTGTAGTAGTATCAGATGGTGAGGCTAAAGAAATGGAAGAGAGAAAAAAAAGTAGAATAAAATAAAAACCAAACAGGTTGATATTTGTATTTTAATCTAAATATAAAGCATACCCTTACCAATTGTAGTAGTACCAGATGTCACTGCTAAAAAATAGAAAATAAAATAAAAGTAGGGTAAAATAAAATAAAAGTAGGGTAAAATAAAAACTGAACATGTTAATTTTTGTACTTATATAAAATTATCAAGCATAACCCTACCAGTTGCAGTCATATCAGATGATGATGCTAAAAAAAAAAGGAAAAAATATAAACTAAACATGTTGATACTTAAGCATAACCCTACATAAAGCATAACCCTACATGTTGAAGTAGTACCAGATAATGATGCTGAAAAAAAAAATAGATAAAAATATAAAAAAAGATAAAAGAAGAGAAGAAAAAAAAGAAGAGTAGAATAGAAAAAAAAAAACAAAACAAAAAAAAACAAACAAATGTAATATTTGTATTTTAATAAAAGCATAACCCTACCAGTTGTCACAGTGTTAGACACTAATAATGACACTTAAAAAAAATTAATGTTAAAAATTATAAAACATATAATAGTTAATAATAAAAAGTATGTATGTATCTAAATATAATTTTTACATGTTTTCCTCATCTCATCCATAAAATCATCTAAAACAAAAAAAACTTGAAAATTTTATAAAAAGACATCAAAAAAATCAATCAAATCAGTAATTTGAAAAAATATCTTTAAATTAGGATCAACTGATAATGTTGAGTTAAATTTAAGGCTCTATCACTACTGTGTGTGTGTGTGTGTATGTATGTGTGTATGTATGTATGTATGTATGTATGTATGTATGTATGTATGTATGTATGTATGTATGTATGTATGTATGGATGGATGGATGCATGCATGCATGCATGCATGTATGTATGTATGTATGTATGTATGTATGTATGTATGTATGTATGTATATATATATATATATATATATATATATATATATATACATATATAAAATTATCAATTAGTAAAATTATAAAATAATTTATACCTAGTCTAAGTTTCAATTTTCCTATAAAGTAAAAAGCAAGTTAAAAGTAAACAGTACAAATTAATTAAATCCTAATAACAAATATTTAATGATAAAAATACTGACTGTATTTCTTTAGTGCTTTGTCTAAACAATAAATTTAAATACACTTTTATTAAAATCTTTTAAAGACATATATTATAAAAATCTAATAATTTTAAAAACAAAATTAATTGCTAATTGGCTAACTAATGATTATATTTTATCAGGTTTTATCAGACCTTTATTAGGTCGCTTATGATAAACTAAACAAATTAAATATACAATTAACATCTTGTTTTAGACAGAAGTCATCTTTAACATATATATTTAGTTCTACTAAAATAGTTACAAAATTTACAACTTACTTTCATCTTCCCCATCATTGTTAATTAAATGAAAATTTAACTCCAAAAATACTCTACTAATATTTTAAATTCTACTTAAATATTTAAAAAAGCAACACTTACTTTCAGTTTTATCTCCGTGGTTAACTAAATAGAAATAAATATTATTTACAATCTGTACTTGAATATAATAATATAAATCAAAATATAAATAAAAAAATAATAAATTATAGTAAACCAAAAAAAAAAAAATCAAAGTTATTCATCAAATAAACAAAAAAAAAAATTATTAATCACGACTAATATACTTGATAATGTACTTAAAATGTAACTTAAATTATTATTATGATTATTAATAAGTCTTAATTATCTTTTAGTTTCCACAGTTTAAATTTTTCCTTACAATAAGACTCCTTTGATGTTAAACAAATAAAATGTTTTTAAAATAAAAACTTTACCGTTCATTTTTCTTTTTTCTTATATTACCTTTTTTTGCTGATCTATAATATAATATAATTAAATTAATAAAATTAAATAATACCTATAAAGTAAAAATAAGATTTTTACTTTACAACTCTTCTTTTTATAACAACATAATATCAACAAACACTCGTTCTAAAATAAAATATTGTAAAATTCAACTTAAGTAAACATGTAAAATGAAACTATATAAAAATGATTTCCCTAAAAAGTTAAGAGAAGTTCGTCAGGTCTGGCTCGGTAGACCTTTTGGTTTGACCACATGTACTTAAAAAATGCGCTCTTTAAATTTAAAAAGCCTAGAATCTACTTTTAAAAAAACATTAAACGATGACAAAACGCGACATTGAACATTGAACATTTACTTCTAGCAAATATATTATAGATAAAGAAATACACAACTTTCAATGATAATTAAAATCTTAATTTAAAAGCGTTTTGCTGATATAAAAGCGTTAGTAAAAGATAAATGCATCAAATTTATTTATTTTCAACGCAATTAAAAAACCATTTTTTATCGCATTTGTTTAAAGCCGTGGTTAAATCATCATAGCAAAATATTATTTGCGCGGTCATATAAAGACTTGAAATAGCACGCCTTGATGAACCAAATAAACTACAAGATGAAATAAACCACAAAATATACTTTAAAGTTTTTTAACACCGCAGGCATAGTGCAGCAACAGCCTCAGAATTAAAAGGGTTGATGCCTATTTTGGCCATCTAACTCTTATAGGTAAGAAAAACAGTGTGAACTTTCTTGTTAATGTTTTTCTATAGTGCTTTTTAGTACTAACATTAGGTGTTCTAGGAGCTTAATGATCTTTTAGCCTTGGTAACCTAGATATAATCAATAAATATTTATATTTGTACGTTATATATTAAAGCATATTTGATTAAAATTTGTTTTTATATTTATTAGATGTTTGCTTTTTAGGTTTAAACATAATTAGATATAAATTGCCTAAATATAATCTATAAATAACCTAGGTATAATCTTTAAATTCTTATATATGTTAAAACTTGTATGAATAAATACTTTTATTTGTACGTGTTAAAAGTTATATGAATATTTTTAATGTTTGCTTTTATATTTATTACATTTTTTTTTAGTTGTCAAATGAATGTAAACAACCAACGGTGTATTAAAAAAGTTCTTCCGTTTTCGAAATACTGTTATGATCACATATTAAACGATTCTGATCAGTATCTTTACATATCGTGCATAAATCAAAAAAATAAAGTTTTTACGGAACAATGCCTAAATCCTGTTGAAGGTTTTCTTAAAAAAATTGCTTGTCGTAACCATAATGTTATGCTATCCAATGCTATGGATCAAGCTTGGCACAATTATAAATTGATTAAAAGAACTCACAAGCAAAAATGCAAAAGAAAAGATAACAGATTCAAAGTGTTAAAATCTAAAAAAAGACATCCCGGAAGAAGGAAAGAAAACCTTTCATCAGGTGTTAGTCCCACAGTTGCGAATTCAAGCTCTTCTGTTACTTTAAAATCTCCTCCAATAGAATTTTTTTCTGACTTGTTAACAACAAGTTCTACTAACAATGATGAATCCAATAAAACATTTCAGCATGTTTCTTCAGTAGCTCTTAATAAGTCTTTTTGATGAAAATTTATTTTCAGCTGAAAGTAAAATTTTGAATTTCTCCTAATAAATTAATAGTTGGCTGTTTGAACAACCAATTTTTGTTGACATAGACTGTAACTATATTTCTAGAGAAAAAAAGTGATTCCATTACTTTTTTTTTTTTTTTTTACATCGATAAATGATTTTTGATATAAAATAATTTTCTTTAGAAATTCGTAGGCATTAAAATTGTTAGCCTTATTTTATTTACAAAAGGATGTAATTTATTTATTTAAAATTTGAATTTTTTATTTATATATTTTGGTTGATATGAATATATATGCACACACACACACACACACACACACACACACACACACACACACACACACACACACACATGCACACACACACACACACACACACACATGCACACACACACATGCACACACACACACAAATGACTCTACATGACACTAAATGAAATATTAAATAAAAATTAATAGCTGCTTATTATTTAAAATGAAATATTAAATTAAAGTTTTATACAAATGTATTTCATTAAAATATATTTAAAAAAAACTCAAAAATGTTAATTTTTTGATTTTTTCAATATTGCATATACATTGATTATGCTTGCGACTACAGAGTTTGTGTTTGTGTTAAATTCTGATGAGAGTTGTCATAATTGTGTTAAAAAATGTATAATTTGTTCAATTTTAATTTAGGTAATAGTTTTAGAAACATAAATCATGCGTATTGAGAAATGCTATTTTTGCTCTTCTTCTCTCTACCCTGGTCATGGAATTACCTTCTGCAGAAATGATAGCAAAGTATTTTTATTATTAATAATATTGGTATATTATTACTATCATAGCTATTATGCATAATATATATATATACACACGCGCGCGCACACACATTTATACTGCATCATTTTGAGGTCATGAAATAATCTAAAGTACCATTGAGTCTTATCTGCTGCACAAACACCTGTTTTATTTTAATTTTTTTTTTATTTTGAATTTTTATCATTTTTAAGGGTTGCTTAAAGTGCCTTAATGGTCTTATTTTAAACTCTTTTCTCCTTTTTATCAGCCGATTTTTAGCACAATTGAGCTAGTTCTTTATGTCAAAATAATTTTTTTTATTTTTTCCAGAGTTACTTTTCAGTAAGAAGAAACAAATAAAAATGCGTGGTAATTTTATTTAATTGATATTTTTTATATAAATCTCAAAATTTCAAATATATCAAGTATATTTGATTTTTTCTGATTACTGCGCACCGCTGTAATTTATCAAAAAAATTTTAAGCTAAGACGATATTGAAACATTATTTTAAAAAGCAGTAAATTATTAATAATCTATAAATTTTTGTAACTTAATTTCAAAAATTTTGATATTGATATTGCATTTTTGATGGACCAATTAACAGAAAGGAAGTCTAGAATAGGTGGAATAGACAAAAAGGTACCATTCCTCTGTTAACAGCAGTTTGTCTAATATTAAACTGAAATCAAATTTACATGAAGCCGTGTTAGACAGTGAGCTCTGCTCAAATGGTTTTGAAAAAGAAAATTTTAGTTTTCTATATGCTGATTAAGAGTTGAACAAGAAACTCCAAAAACTGTTCTACTACAAATGTTATTCTCTGCTTATACAGCTGTTGGGGAAGGAATAAGACATAGGCAGCATGCTTCCATAGTTAAAAGCATAATTGCTAAGTATCTTATAGCGCTAACTCTAGCTAATGAAAAATGTTAAGAGCAGAAATTGCTCAAAAACTATACAGCTATGAATATGATGAAATTCATCTGAATCAATGGTTAGCAATTATCAAAAAACTGGTGCAGTTTTGTAGACGTAAAATATTTCAATTGGTAAATTTTTAATGCATTTTTATTTGTTTCTTTTAACTAAGTAGTAAATTTAGAAAGAAAAAGAATTATTTTGACATATATAGAGCAAGCTCAATTGCGCTAAAAATGGACTTTAAAAGGATAAAAAATTCTAAAATAAGACTATTGAGGCACTTGAGTAACCCCTAAAAATTGTCTTGTTTTCTGTAGGGTTTCAGTATATAAATTATAGAGTATAACACTAGATATGAACAATTTTGAGTATTTACATATTATGTAGATTAGGTATTAATGTATAACAGAGATTAAGTATCTACTTATGAAGTAGATTGAGTATCTAGATGTTAAAAATTTATTTATTATATTATAATTATAGTTGATAAATTAAACTTTTTTGAAAGTAAAAATACAAATTACACTTGTTTTTAAGTGAACCAAAATCAGTAACCCAAAAAAATGTAATCATATATAAGTATAGAAAAGGTTGGTGTGGAGTAGACTTACAAAGACCTGTATTTTTACAGGTCCAATCAGCTAGTGTTTTAAATATTAGATCAATGTTTGGCAAACATAAAATTAGACACTCTTAAAGCCGTAAAGCCTAAAACAGATCTGATTCAGTATTTTAAATTTAAAAGTAAATAAATGTATAAGAAGATAAAAAATAAAAATGGTGGCACCCAACCAAAATCATGTTATCAATACTAAATATCTATTATTAAGTACCAGAGAAAATGCATACAAAGAGTGCATTTTACAAAAAAAGTGTCTCTGTGAAAAATAGTGACCAATAGATCCAAATCTTGAAGGTTATTTCGATTGGAAATATTAAAATGTTTATGGTATCATGAGTGGTTTGATGCTTCGTCCGTACCCCAATTAATTAGTATTAATTTATCAGGTTTATTTTTTACATCATCAAAAGATTTTTAAATTGAAGAGCTTAGTACTAAAAGTAATATAGTCATAAAATAAATGTTTTGAGAAAATCTAATTTAATCAGACATTTTAAATCCTTATTTTAAAGGGTTATATCTCTGATAAAGTAGATTTTCTCAAAATATTTAGTGACTTAAGTGCTTTAAGCACTATGCTCTTCAATTCATTTTTTCCGTAACTGTCACTGTGAACACCGCTTTACCAATAAAAAAAATCCAAAAAATGAATATAAATATAGATAAATTTATTATTGAGCAAAAAAAAGAGAAATTATAGCTATGAAATATAGCTTTGAAAGTTTTCCTACTCTATGGAGGATTCAAAACTTTTTTCAGCCTGTACATATAATTATTTATTTATAATAATAAAAAAAAATATATTTTTTAAAAAACTTTTCATACCTAGATACTGTTAAGTTATAACCCATAGTTTTTGTATACACTAAAACAATTATTCAATATGACATTATCAATGACATAACTATCTAAATATGCAATTTAATACATATGAAATTTATACCTTAGTATGTGTAGGCTCAAAGATGTAGGCCTAAATAACAATATAATTAATTATACTTTATATACATATATATCTATATTGTCCAGGTTTTTCGATTTTGTCGCTCAAAATGTCACAAAGCTTTTAAAATGAAAAGAAATCCTCGTAAAGTTCGCTGGACAAAAGCATTTAGAAAGTCACATGGAAAGGAACTCACAGTGGTAAATTTTTTGAATAAGTTTTTAGTTTAGTTTCGTAATCTCTAGGAGCAAAGAAACAAAATTAAATTTTATATTTTGTTTACAGGATCCATCATTTGAGTTTGAAAAGAAGCGAAATACTCCTCTTTCTTATGATAGAGAACTCTGGTCAAAAACAGGTTTTTAAAGTTCAAACAGTTTAAAATTATTAAATTACTTTTTAATTGTTTCATTTTGATTTTATAAATACTTTTTTTATATTTCTGATTTTTACTTATTAAAATATTATAAATAATTATTTTCTAGTGTCTGCCATTAAACGAATAGAAGAAATTAAAACTAAACGCCAAAATCTTTATATAAAAAATAGGTAATTTAACTTTTTTTGAGAGAGAGAAGTAACTAGAAATATAAAAGTTTTTGAAACATGAAGAAACAGTTGTAGTTGATCTGAGTTGGCTGAATGATTAATTAAATAATATGGAAATTAATAAAAGGAAGAAATTATTTAATGATTTTAAAAAGTTTCCCCGATCTTTCTTATCTCCTTAATCTAACCCTAAATCTCTATTATAATGCTTATTAAGTCAGTATTAAAGTGAGCAAATTAAAATCCGATTTTAAGAAAGTAAATTTAATCATCTGGTCGATAAAGGAGTACCTGGGTATTTGTTTTAGTTTCCAAAGTTAAATTTATTAACTAATGGTTAAAATAACTAAATTTACATCATCCCATCAAATTGCAGGTAAAAAAAATTTTTTTAATCTAATTCACTCCTGGGCTGGAATAAGGCTGCAAGCAACTACTATTAAGTTGGTAGTTACTAGAAAACTAAGAATAGAGTTAAAGAGCAATGAAATTGGTTGACAGAAAACTTGAAAAGTTGTAAGTTGTGTAAGTCAGATTGTATAAAGAAAACATGAAGAGAGTTCCAAAGGGTTAAAGTGGGTGAAAAAAACCAGACCAATAAAAGTTTTTGAAGTATGTAGGGACAGATACAGTAAAAAAAATGCGATTTTAGCAGCAACCATGATAGTATTTATAGAAAAAAAGAAAGAAATACAACCTTTCAATGATGGGATAGAGGTTCCAGCTTGACAGCTAAAGCAGTTCCAATTACATTTACAATGCCTTTTTGGACCTTGTCTAAAAGAGAAAGAGCATCATCAGAAGAATCAGCCTAAATATGACAATAGTACTCCATACAGAAAGAAATAAGAGATTTTTAGAGGTAGAGAATTGAGTAAGGAGTTAGTTGTTAGTGAGCACGATAAAGAGAAGCAAACTTAGCAGATCCTAATTTTGCAATTGATTGTATATATTGTTTTCTTTAGAGGTCAGTAGTGAATGATAATTCAAGAAGACTTTATGTCTTCCTAATGAAAAGGGCTCAGTGAGAAGACACTAAATATAATTTGCAAAAATTGCAGAGTGCCTTAAGACTCAGTGCTGGGACCTATTGTTTGTTCTATATATTAATGATATAGAACAAAATTACATTTCAATTCAAATATTTTGCATTTGCAGATTGCCTGGAGAAGTACTTTAAAAGTAGTTCAACACCTCTTGCCCACTATTTTTTTTTTTTAAAAAAAAGTCCTCATTTTTTAAAATTTGTCGACTGTCCTCCGTCTGCCATAACAGCATTTGCCGACTGACTGTCTAAATTTACCGACTAACCTGTTGAAAAGGTCTACATTTGCCGACGATTTTGTCAAAAAGGGTCAAATTTGCCGACTAAATGAACGAAAAAATCATTGATGGGGGGGGGGTGTCACACACCCCCACGCACAACCCCCCCCCCCCTCTTTTTTTTTTTTTTTTTTTTCCCTACAAACACACACACCCATCGTGCTGGTCTTGCTGGTACTCAAAAGAAGGGAAATAATATAATTTTATTATTTATAACAATTTCTTTTTAATAAAAATTTGTAAAATTACCTTTTTTTAGTTTTAGTTACAAAAATATAGTTTTGCTGCAATTAATTCTGTAATAATTTTTTATTTTTAATTGAGACTGCCTGCTCAAACCAAACCCTCAGTCGATGCAGCAGCACTCCTCACATGTTTTACCTTATTGTCAGTCGATGTAGCAGCACTCCTCGCATGTTCTACCTATTTCTCAGTCAAATAAAACATTCAGAATGTATTAATTTTTTTTTTAAAAAAAAAACAAACATTTTGTTCGAATTTTAAAACATTCTAGTCTATTATTTGCACTTTTTCTTTTTTTCAAAAAGCGATAAGTTTTAATTAGTTTCCTGATTTAAATTTAATGTTTTTGACATGTGCTTTGTCTGTGCATTGCTTTGTGCAATGGTTTTGACTGTGCTTAATTTTGTCATATGGCCCCTGCAAATCAAAAGTTTATATATCTTAAAGTTTTTTATAACGTCTCATCGCAAAATAATATAATGCATTAATATTTTGCTGACTTCACATTGCATTTATTCTTTAATTTTCTCATTCCCCCTAACAATTTTCTTATTCCCCCTAAACTTTTTCTCATTCCCCCTAACAATTTTCTCACTCCCCTAACAATTTTCTTGAAGTTATCCAAAGATTATTATTCTATATTTACATAGTTATATAGTTATACCACTAAAATAATTAAAACTAAAATAAAGTAAAAACAAAATTGAACATCTCCACTTAACAGAATTATAAGTAAATATTTAATAAAGTTTTTTTTATTTTTTTGCGCCATTAGATAACGAATGGCATGAGAAGTTTATCACATTTCCATCAATTGTTTAAAAGAATAACATGTTACTTGTACAAATCAAGTTGCCTGCGAAAGACAGGAAATTTTTTGTTTGTTTTTTTTTCCAGTAATATAGTTGGCAATTATCATTATTTATTACTTGCCATAGGTACTCATTGTAACAATGCAATCTTCAATGCATTTTTTTAGGGCTTTTTGTTGGAAAAGTTTTTGTTTTTCAGATTTTTTTTCCTTAACATGATTAAACACAGCATCAAGTAAGTTCATTGGTAAGCTCATCTTCAGTGTGCATTCACAGCTTTGAACCCCAGTTTTGTGTATGTTGAGTAATGTAATGAAACATTTGCCAAATCAAACCAAGCATGAAGTGGTGAAAGTTGCTCTTAAGGACTTGTTGATTTTAATTGATCTTTTAAAATATAAATGCAAGATTTAATAGCCACAGTGATATTAGTACAAAGTTGCTTTGTGTGCGTACGTAATTAGTTTTAAGAGCGGAAATTTTTTTAAATATCTTTTGCTAATGATAAAAGAATACGATATGCTGGAAAAAGATTTGCGCATCTTAAAGTGCTTTCCATAAGAGCCATAGAGCCATTGAAATTGCCAATTTTCAATTTTCATATGACTAATTCAAAAGTTTAATTTATTGTTAAATCTGGTTACAATATCATGTGGTGGACAGGTCTCTTGAAGTCCTTGTTCATGTTGATGTTTTTTTAATCATTTCAGACCTACAGAAGAACTGTTGAAAAAACTTGCAATTTTGTGTATTAAACTAATCTGGTTTTTAACTTGCTGTTGAGCATTCAACACACTTAATGCGTAGTTAAAGAATATGTGCAGCTAATGGTTGCCAAGTAGTTTCTAAATGAGAAGCAATAGCAGGCATTAGGTTTTTGTGTCTGTGTTTGCACACAGCACATTTCTGTTTCAATATTTCAGCTTTTCAGTTAATAATAATCTCTTTAGTTTTTCAAGAGGTATGATCTGCATCGATATCTTTAAGATTAACCACAGATTAGCAACGTGTTTTTAGCTTCCAAATCATTAGAGCTGTTGCAAAACCAGTTGCTGTTTTTTTGGATTAACTATACTAATAGTAACAACATAAATTAACTCCTGGTAATTATATCAAACAACTGCAACCAGTTATTTATAGTATATTCTCTAATAGCATATATATTGTCAAAATAACATAAATCGCTACTAATTGCTTTTGTATTCATAATTGTTTATTTATATTTATTTAACTTATTCAATTCTTCACTGATAAAATTACTTAGGTCCATATGTTTAAAGCCTATATAAATTCTGGTTGTTTCTCCTCTTCACTACATATTATCTATTACGCTATCACTATATTATCCCTTCTTATTTATTCTTGAAGATTGTTAGAGGCGTCCTGGTTTAATATAATCATGTTTTTCTGTCTTAAATGTTTCATGGTTCATTTAATAAATGCTTTGCTTGATTAAGAATAGTTCTTTTGGTTCTAACACCTTACTGTTGCATGCTTGAGTGATTTGAGTGACTAATGTTTTAATTTTTTTTTTCTAACATTTGGCATGAGGCTTTGTTTCAAGTTTTTAGAACAATTGTTTTTCTAAAACATCTGATTTTGACAATTTACATTTTTTTGTTTGTTTTGCTTCTGCTTGTGTATGAAGTGTTTTCTTTCCAGATGACTCCAGAGATGTGATTTTGTGACAGAGTTTTGTACACTGTGGTTTTGCTAGATTTACATAAATAAAATTGATTTTCTTCAAAGTATGACTTAATAACTGCCGTCATTGTTTCCGTAGAAAGTATTACTTAATACTTGTTGTCATTGTTTAAATAAAAATATAGGAATTTGAAAGAGTTTGCAAAATAAAAAGTCAATTTTAAAAAGAATGTTTTCTAATTTAATTGTTTTACAAATAATGGTTGATTAATGAATTTTTAATGAATTATGAATTATGAAAATGTTTTATGTATGATTTTTAAATTAATTTATAAAAAAAAGGTTTTCTAAATTTAATTGCCCTCCCTGAAAAAATGCACAAAGCATCGAAATAGTAGTTGTGTATTTCTTTTATAGCTCGGTTACTTTAAATAATTTAATTTAATGGAGTTTCGAAAAGATTAAGTGCTACAATTTTTACTTTATGATTAAAAAATTTAGTTTTTGTTCAAAGAAACAAATAAACTACAAGAAAAGTTGTTTCAACAGCAACTTGTTTTAGAATTGCGCCATCAGGGCTGCTTTGAAAAAATTTGTCCCAGGAGTGACCCTGTGTTCCATCGTCATAAATTTATACTTGCATGCAATTTTTATTTCAATATTTTTTTAATAGTATGGTTATATAAATAAACCTGCTCTAATTATGTTAAAAAGTGCAATTTTGTAATTTATTACTAAATATTAGAAAGTTTATTAAGAAACCTTAATATGTATGTGTGTGTGTGTGTGTGTGTGTGTGTGTGTGTGTGTGTGTGTGTGTGTGTGTGTGTGTGTGTGTGTACACACACATACACACACATAAATATATGCCTTGCAAAGTTGTAAAAAATTGAAAAATCAAAAATATTGAGCTTTAGTGCCAGTAGTACTAGAGCTAAGCTATTTAATAGTCTACTCAATATTGCAATAAACTTATCAGTAACAAGAACTTATTTATAGATTTATGTTTCTTACATTTAAGTTATAATTAAAAGCACTCAAGTATAAAATATATGATAACAAAACAAATGTATCTGTTATGATAACAAAACTAGTGTTAGACATCTGTTATAATAACTTTGTATGTTACTTAAAACCAATTCACTGAATTGCTTGGTAACTTGAATAATTAACATTTTTTTTTTAATTTGCTTTGTTTTTTAATCTTTTTTTAATTATTTCATTCATATTTAGATTAAAAGTAGCAAAGAAACTGTCTAAAGAGCTCGACCTTAAAGAAGTTCAAAATAACATTAATTTGATAAAAGGACCAAGTAAGTATTTATGAGCTTTTGGCTATTACTTAAGAAAATTACTTTCTAGTGCTTTCCTTATAATGATCTATACATCGTATCAGATAAGTTTTTATTTTAAAATTTAACAAATTTGCTATCTTTAATTAGAGAAATAAATAATAATTTTTTAATTAAACTTTTAAAGAAATTCAGTAAATTCTCGATAACTCAAATCTCCAAATCAAAATAATCTCATAATCAAAATCTCCAATAACTTAAAGTGCTGTTGAAGCCAATTTCTCATAAAATCTCTTGTTAACTCTAACATTTCTTATATAAACCACTCAGTCAAACCATTACTTATTATACTACAAAAATTACATACAACTATAAATACAATTTACAACTCGTTTTCTTTACTAATTTTCTAATGACATTACCATTGGACGGATTTGTTGATTTCTGTTTACACTAGATGAGTGTGCTATTTTTTGTTGGATGTATTGTTTTATGTAGTGTATATATGTAGTATATATATGTAGTGTATATATGTAGTATATATATGTAGTATATTATGTAGTGTATATATGTAGTACATATAGTGTATTATGTAGTGTATATATGTGTATATATAGTGTATATATGTAGTGTTTTTTTTTAATAGTTTTATAAGAAGTGTTGTCTGAACTTTACACAGTTTTCGCACTAGCTCTGAAAATTTCGTAGGCTAACACAGAAAAAAAGTTGTTGTTGTTTTTTTTTTTTTTTGATAAATTCTAATTTCGTTATTTAATACAGACGTCTTCGAGGGCAATACAAAGATTATAACGGTCATATAATTTCGATACCATTTTTATAGTAAGATTTATTTTTAGCCTCAAAATAAGCCTCAGTTTAAGTGGTTACCTCTTCTTCAACGCTTAGTTTTTTTTCAGCGAATATTCTCTTGCGGTCTGAGAACATAAAAAAGTTGCTGGGGGACAGATCTGGAAAATACTGTGGATGTGGAAGCAGTTTAAAGCCCAGTCGTAATTCATCAAATTGTGACATGGTGCATTATCTTAATGAAACAGCACTTTCTTTAAATTGGGTCATTTTTCTACAATTCGTTTAAACGCTATATAATAGTTGTTGTGTTGGTGGTTTTTCCCTTTTCAAGATAGTTGATGAATATTATACTCAATATGTTAAACCAGTCGGTGAATATTATACTCAAAATGTTCAAAATCTAACAAACTAATAGTCCTACGACTATCATATTTATAAACGTGTCTTGATTTTTAGTTAGCCCCAACCTTGAAGGTTGGGGCTAACTAAAAATGCGCCTACGAATTTTTCAGCCCATCTGTTAGATGTTTCTAAATTATTAATTTTGCACTGATTTCTGTTTCAACATGCACTTTTCTTTTGTTAATTCCCATTCATATTCTGTACCTCGAGTTCTATAGATTTACACTTTGTCATTATCTCTGTAATCAATTCTGAATTTATCTCTGTTATTAGATAAAACCTTTTTTTTAACTTTCGCTATCCAACTTTTATTCTAGTTTTAATGTTTTTGCAATAGTTTTGATCGTAAATAATGTACTATTAAAGTGTATAGGATTTTAAATAAAAGTTTCTAGGGTTTTAAGTCTTCAGGATTCCAGATTTTTTAATTTTAGTGGATATATATTTATTGAAAAAAAAAATCACTGGGCATTTAATTTATAGGATTATCACAAGCATACATTGAATTGAATTCAATGTTTGTTTGCACCTAATATCGCACTATGCGTCGCTCCTATGCAAAATGAGGAAATAGGCTTATAAATAAAGAAGCATTCAACATATTGAGCTAATTTTTTCACAAAACATCGAATTTTTGTTTAAATTTCTATATTTAAAAGAAAAATATGCGGTTTTTATAAAATAAAAGATAAGTGTATTTTTTTCGGTTCATCCGGACTAATTCCTAAATAATCCGGAAAATTACATTAGTCGGGATATTTTTATTCAAAAAACAGTAGACCCCAATATTTTATAGAATTTTACAAACGTTTTTAGAAATTTATAAACAGTATCATTGAATATAAAATTATTAAAATTATTAACAAATCTGCTTTCATCTGATTCTTCGTTCTTTAGTTTTTTACAATGTTTCTCAACGTTCTAATAGATATTTTTAATAACTTGTGGCTGTTAAAAAAACCAATTTTTAAAAAATTCAACACAGAGCAGCTCATCTGTATAACATTTTAGTTGGTATAATTCTTTCTAGATCAGTTAATTACTAATTAAAATTTATTAAATTATTTCTTAAATATTTTTTAAAAACAAAAAACAACAAAACTTTGAATTGTTATTATAAACTATATTGAGATTTCTTTACCAAAAAAAAAATTAACAAAAATAGTATAACAAAAATGCTCTAAACTATTAACAATAACATAGAGGTACATATCAAATAGCATAGAGGTACATATCAAATGTCGCAAACAAATGATTAACTGTATCTCTAGTGTTTTCTGCCAAGAAAGTTAGACGTGCATTACTAACTTGTGCAGTTTTGCTTTCTTTGTTTATTATTTTAAGTATCCTCCAACCTATTGGAGGATACTTAAAAAACCTAAAAGAAACCAAATGAATTATATGTACAGATTGTGACAGGTATGTTTTTTTTTAAATGTGCTATTAGTAATGAATGCAAATAGATATTCAGATATCTGATTAAAAATCTATATATCCGGTCTTGTAGTCGTAAAAATCTATATATCCGGTCTTGTTGTTTATATGAATAAGTAAGTCTCGAAACAATTTATTCTGATTTAGGTGCTCTTTGTGATACACTATAAATAATAAAAAATACATTAAAGCATATGCAACACCAGCAAAAATATCACAATTAGAAGTTTTTTTAGTAAACATAGTAAAAACAATATGTGTGTGTATATATATCGTTGGTATACAAGTTTGATATACCACACAAATTTAATAAATCAGTTATTAATGAGTTTTATTTTAACTAAATTTTAAAATCAGTTATTAAGATTTTTTATTTTAACTATTCCACAAAAACTTATTATTTTAACTATTACGAAAAAACTTATTTGTTCATTATCTCAAAATGATGTATTTGGACTTGCAGTTCCTTTGTATACCGACGATATATATATATATATATATATATATATATTATATATATATATATATATATATATCATCTTCTTTTAGTTTATGCTCACTCTGCTTGATAAATTGATTACCCTGTTTAATCAGATTTTTTTATTAATTGATCCTCTTCATATGTCCTAATCTATATTTCAGGATCTTTTTCTTTTATATATTAGTTGTTATTATTAAAAAAGTTATAAATTGTATTTATTTAGCATTAATTGTATTATTTATATATATATTTTCACAAATTTTTATTAAATAAAAAGCCAAACTTTCCAAAATGTTAAAAATTCACTGTGAAACCAGCATAAAGTGATAAAAACGTGGACTGCAAAAATATAGCACATGCAAATACATTTTTACTTGTGAAAATATGCCTTGGAGGAAAATCATCAAACAAAAGTTTGCCGATATTAAAAGTAAATGATTTTGAAACATTGAACACGCCTAATTTGAAAGTTATAACTTCAAGACTAAGAGCAAATGTACCGCTCTGCATCAAGTTTTGTTTTTTATACTTATTATCTAACCGGTTTTTAATAAAACCCACTACAATAATTTGATTTTATACCTTGTTACCACAGAGGTAGCCAGAATATTATTTCACTTCTAAAAAGTCTATTTATCGCAGAACATATATAATAAATAAAAAATTGGCTACCTCTGTAGTAACATGGTCTAATCAATCAATTTTTACGGACACACAAAAACAATGATTCAAATTTTTTTTTTTTCTTTTCTTGGTTTTTAATTTACAAAATGCATCATTTATTTGATAATATGCAAAAAAATTGAGGAAATTTGGAAATTATTGTATGTAATATAAAGATTTTGTAAAAACCCGGGTTTTTTTACTCCTGAAAATCTTGCACTTAAAAACAGGGATTATCTTTTTCCGGATATTTCCGGAATTCCAGATTTTTTTTTTAAACTCTTAGTTTTTCCGGAACATTTTCAATACATGCAAGTTGAGGTATAAATTTTGGTAATATATTGGTTTTTTAAAGCTTTTTCACTCATCACTCATGGAAAAATAATGAAAAGTGTCAAAAAAAGTTAGAAAAAACTTAGCTAAAAGCGAAATTAAAAAGAAAATAAGGGAAAACAAATTCCGGATTTTCAAAATATGACTAGCATGATCTATGCTTAAAAAGGCAAATTTAAAAAAATTTGCAACAAACATTTTTTTATTAATTAATGCTAACTTGTTTCGGTTAAAAATATTTAAAATATTAAAATTAAAAATTTTTTTTAGAAAAGTAATTAAAATCCTATTTCTGCTTCGCGACGCATAGTGTGTCGGTTGGTTATATTTTTTAATATAAGTAAAAACGTTTTTTAGGCTATGTTTTTCGTATTTTTTAAAATAAAATGTTAATACTTATAATGTATAACTTTTTTCAATAGTTAAACGCAAACAAAAGATTTCTCTTACTCAAGAAGTCAAAGTTGCTGAGGTTGCTATGGAAACAGAATAGAAAACTCAGACTATGTACGTAAAGAAAATACTAGCAATACTGGCAATAAAAGTGTCAGTAAAGTGAAAAGTCGAAAAAATTTAATATGAATTATTTGTACTCTTTTTCTAGAAATAAAAAAATTTACAAATAAGGTTTACAAATATTTATGTTGATATCGTAAGTTTCTGAAACATCTTTTGTAGCATATGTGTAAAGAATAGAAATGTAAATTTACCTTCTAGCACTGCGCAACTTTACTTTTTTACTTTTGCATTTGGCTTTCCGAATCACGATCGTTTAAAAGCGGCAAATTATTATACGTAAGCGCATTAAAACTTTCAAAAGTTTAGATTTGAATGATGGCTACGGTCTTTAGTTACAAAAATATTTATTTAATAACAACCATATATTTATAATTTCAGGTATTAATAAATATCTAAATCTTATTCTTTGAATCAAATTAATATTGGGATTAAAAAGTTTATTGATAATAAAATGATAATAATAAATAGTAAATGTTTTAATGCTAGATTTAATTTTTTTTTTTAATTTTAATTTATAACTCTAACAAGTATTAATTAAATTTATTTACAAACACTTGTTTTTAAAACCTTTGTTTTAACTCATGTTAAACATGTATATGTAATTACTGTATACACATATTTTTGAATATATAATATAAGAGTATACACATATTTTTGAATATATATATATATATATATATATATATATATATATATATATATATATATATATATATATATATATATATATATATATGAATATATATTCTCATATATATATATATATATATATATATATATATATATATATATATATATATGTATATATATTTGCGTCACGGTAAGGAAGTAGACGTGAACTTCCTGGTTAAATGCACTTCCGCAGTGCTCTGTGACAAGACCGTTAGGTCTTCTTGGGGCACCTATCAGGCAAATATTTTGTATAATTAAATAGTATAATACGTATTTACATATATCATTTATGTAAGTACTTATCATACTGTTGTCATAGTGTAAACTTAAATAAAGAAAATATTTGCCTAATACATTCTTACTACATGTAGGAATGTGTTATCCTGGAACAAATTATATACAGTTGAACATACTGTTTGTACAATTGTATATACTTATTAAGGCCTATTAAAGTATTACGTACAATACCTAAGTATGTTAACAATATGTATATAAATTAGTTGAAAATCACTTAACAAAAATTTTAAATTTAACACAGTAATACATTAATAAAGGCTCATTAGAAATTTCTGATGAGTCTTTTTATTGATGAAGCACAGCGTTAAATTAAAAATTTTCATTAAGTGATTTTCTACTGATTTTATATTATCCTGTTCTTTTAAGAACATTACTTATAACATTACTTTTAAGAACGTTACATTAGAGTACTCTATTTGTAGAATACATTTTTAAAGTGTTTATATATATGTATGTATGGTATATATGTGTGTGCATGTGTGTATGTATGAACTTATAAATGTATTTGTGTGTTATATATTTATATATATATATATATATATATATATATATATATATATATATATATATATATGTATATATATATTATATATATATATATATATATATATATATATATATATATATATATATATATATATGTATATATATGTATATGTATATATGTACATTTTATGCGAATATGTAATGTGTGTGTGCACATAATAGATATATATATATATATGCATATATAAGTATGTATTATGTATATACAAGGTCATGTGGTTCCCAATATTTTTTTTTTTTCAGAAATTGTTTTTAGTCTTTATACAATTATTCAATTTTCCACAGTACAGATTATTATAAGACTGAGAAATTTTAATTTAATTTCAATTTTAAATTTTTTGTTTATTGCTTGTATACAGAGGCGTAAATGAGGGAGGAGGGGTGAATCCTTGAAAAGTAGTAGACTGGCTTTTGAAAAAAAAAAGAGGTCCTCAAAACTAAAATTTACCCATAGTCATAAAAAGTATAGTCTGGAAACGCAGGCCGTTTTTAATTGTTTTCATTGTATAAGTTGAAAATCGGGTGGTCTTTGTAAATAAGGTGCAAAACAAACTTTTATGATGGCTGAAAGTTCAAAAGGTTTGAATAATTTTGAGACTATTTTTGAGTTGCATCAAGACGAGTGTGATTCTATTTTTGAAGTTATTGACGACGATTTGTTAAATGACGTTGCCGAAGAACAACATGCCTCAGATATTCCACAAACAACACTTTCCTGTCAATTTCGTAACAAGAAATGTTTGAGCTCTAGAGGTCTCACTCGTCACGTAAATAGTAAACATTCCGATGTTTTATCAAGTCATTCTAAAGTTTCATCAGATATTAGAAAAACTAAAATATCAAAAGAAATTCTTGATCTTGAAGACTTTCAGAAATATTTAGAAAGAAGTGTTGCAAAGCTTCATCAGATAATTGTTTTGAGTCCATACAAAATCATTTTAAAGCTTATGTAATTAATTTTGATATAGCTAACACAGCATATCAGATTATAAAACCGATTTTATTTTTATTTCAAGGAAGTGTTGAAAATTTTTATCCAGATTTTTACAAATGTATCTTTGAAAAAATTGATTCAATTTTTATAGGATTAAATACACAGTGTTCAACCTTACTTGGATTTGAAGTGTGTAACCATATATTGTCGCATCTTTCTGGTCAATCAGTTCAGAATGATACAATTTTATCTGGGAAGGGTTTTGTACTTTCAAATAGGAATCGATCTGTTATTGCTTATTTATGTGGGTATGTTTTTAGCACATTATATCGTCGCATCAGCTTTTCAGATATTTATAAGGAAGAATACTATCAACAGTATATATCTATTTTACTTGCTGCTAAATATCAAGGAAGTGATGATTTTCCTGAGCACAAACTTGTTAACACGCCTAACAGATCAAACTTGTGGAAAATGAAAATTGAGGCAATTTGTATTTTTATTACCGCTGAAACAACCTTTAAAAAAATGGTTAGTAAGTCTATCAATAAAATTGACAGCAAAGATATTCTATCCTCACTTCTTAAAGATACAAATATTTTATCTACTTTTTCAAGAATTAGAAGTGAAACTGATACTTTTGTTAATAAAGAAGTTTGTTTAAATATTATTGAAGACATCTTGAATTTGTATGTGAAAGCAAGGACATTTTCCTATGTCAAGGATAATCTACAGGCTTACAAAATTAAAGTTCAACAACTCAAGTCTAAGTCACTGCGAACTTCACTAAAAAAGAAGAGTACTTATTAATATGTATATTAATAAGTATGTATATAATCAATTATATGTAAATTTCACATTTGACAATTCAAAACAATTATCTGATATTATCTCATTTTTTAAAACAGCTATTATCATAGTTACAAATGGCTAAAAACATTTTTGTGGTATCAGAATATTTATATTACTAGTTTTTTATTAAATTGTTTTCTTTTCATTAGAAAAAAGTTTTCTACAATCAATCCAATTAGTCAAATAAGGATTTTGCTTTGCAAAAAATTTTAATAAATGGGAGTTGAAATCAAAATATAACTATATAAAATTTACAGTGACTTTATTTTGTGGGGATTGGAAACTTTACATAGTTGATAGTTTTTAGATAACATTTAGGGCCAAGATGGTTTTTATTACAATATCCTATTTATTTTGAGCTTATTAAGTTTGCTAATTGAATTTTTTTATTTAATAAAATTAAGTTAAAAAATCAGTCTGTTTATTATAATTTACTTGTTATCAACAAGAAAATCATATCTCACAACTAAAAAAACCGTTTAGAGTAAACTAACCTTAAAATAAATATAAATGCACTAATGAAAATTTTCACCCACCCATTTATTAAGTCCTCTACCCAGTTAGAAATTTTTAAACAAGAGCATTTATTTTGCACAAGATCAATATATATTTTTTGAGAGTATATGAAATAAGCAACTATAAGGGAGGGTCAAGGTTTAAAATTATGCTGATCAATCATGTTTTGAAGTCAGAATGTTTTTTCACAAATTTTAGGTTTTGTTTGCTTTTTTTTTTTAATTTTTTTTACTTAAAAAGCTAAATCTTTATGAATTATAATAGATTATAAAAATTTTTACATGAGTATTGAACTTTAGTTCGAGAATCTTATGTAACACATAAGCATTAAAATATTTTTCATTATTTTTTGAGCCCCTTTTCCCTTGTAATCAAGTTTAATCATTTAGTAGAATCACTCTAACTGCACTTATAACACCAATACTCTTATTTATATAAACATTTGTTTATACTTATGTCAAAAAAGGATGCTTTGCAAAAAATTGCGATGATAGGAGCCTGAAAACAAAAATGACCCAAAACTTTTTGCCCCCCCTGCTTCAATCATTAGAGCAACAAGTTGGTAAAATATTTTTGTACATTTCTCAACTAGGTTTATATTCATTGATAAACTTTAAATGTTATAGTGAAATATTTTAGCGTTCAAAAATTAAGACCTTGCAAAGTTTGAACCTTTCTCAATTTAAGGGAGTTACAAATTTAATATGGTCATAATTTTTGAACATTAAAAGATTATATTATAAAACTTAAAATTTATTGATAAATATGTCTAGTTGAGAATAATACATTAAATATTTTATTTTTAAAAAATATTTTATCAATATTTTATATTTTTCTCAGGTTTGGGACAGGGTGAAAGAAAATTTTAGAGCTTTTTTGTTCCCAGGCTATAATTCTTTATACTTTTTGAAAAGTATCCTTAATTGAGGTAAGAATAAACATATAAATCTCAAAGACTAAAAAATGCTACATCTCCCCTGATGTATATTGAAATTGTCTATATTTTATAAAAGCAGCCAAGAAAATTCAATGTTTTCTTTCAAAAAAAATGCTTAACAAGCGATCTTTTTTAACATAAATGCTTTGTTTTAACTAAAGATATAAAGCAACTATATAAACAAAACTGGGGCTATTATTTATTTACATTTTTTAAATTTAGTTAATAATTATGAAATTTTAGCCTCAAATTGTCTACTACACTAGTGTTGACCTTGCGTTATCAGCAGGGTCGACACTAGCATATTAGACACTAATTAACCAATCTATTCAAGCGAGAAATTGTTTTATATA